GTGATAAGTATGCATACTTATCGAAATTATCGGATTCCTGTACAACCGTCGAGATATCGATCAATTTTAACTGCTTATCATTACAGTAATACCCTGTTTGGCGCTCGAAATAAGTTTCTACAAAACAAAGCTTTAGACAAAACACCGATAAATAGGTCATCTCGGTATACAGCAAATAGGAATCAAGGAGCGTGTAACCGAGACTACAGCGCTTTTATCTGAATTCCAAACTATTTTTATATCAGCTTACGTACGTAATTAGACAGATAAGGCAAAAAATTAAATAGTAGAGTATCTACGAATAAAAAATTGTAGATTCTAATTCGATAATGAGTTTGTTTACTCGTTGCTATATTTGTTCCTATGTGTTTCCCCTATCGTCTAGCTAACTCTTATATTTGAACTTTGTCGAATGAGTCAATTAGCAAGCTGTTCTAACATCTGCTGGTATCGTTTTCTTTTGCTCTAAACACCGACCCGTATGTGTGTTCATATACGGGGTGTTCATTAAACTGTTGGAATTAGAGCACGCTATTATGCTTTATTCAGAATAATATTACTATTTCTCTAGATTAAATTTCCAAATTTCTAAATTCACCAATGGTCAAAATTCTGAATTATAAACCCCTAGATCTTAATATCCGAAATTCCTATTTCCAACAATTTTTTAATCCTAAAATCACTATGTTCCAAAATCCCTACATCAAAAATTCCCTAGATCAAGAGATCGCTATATCCTAAAATCCCTAGATAACAAAATCGCTATAGCTCGAAATCCCTACGTCCCAAAATTCCCTGGATTAAAAATTCCCTAGTTCCGAGATTCCCTGAGTTCAAAATTCCCTAGATTCAAAACTCCTTGAAGTCAAAATTCGCTAGATCCATAATTCCCTAGATTCAAAATTCCCTGGGCCCGAAATTCCCTAGATCAAAAATTCCCTAAATTCAAAATTGCCTAGATTCAAAATTCGCTAGATCCATAACTCCCTAGTTCCGAAATTCCCTGAGTTAAAAATTCCCTAGTTCCGAAATTCCCTGAGTTAAAAATTCCCTAGTTCCGAAATTCCCTGGGTTCAGAATTCCCTAGTTCCGAAATTCCTTGGGTTCAAAATTCCCTAGAATTAAAACTCCTTGGATTCGAAATTCCCTAGATCCATAATTCCCTAGTTCCGAAATTCCCTGAGATAAAATTCCCTAGTTCCGAAATTCCCTCGGTTCAAAATTCCCTAGTTCCGAAATTCCCTGGGTTCAAAATTCCCTAGTTCCGAAATTCCTTGGGTTCAAAATTCCCTAGAATTAAAACTCCTTGTATTCAAAATTCCCTAGATTCAAAATTTCCTATTTTCTAAGATTTCTAAATTCAAAAATCCCTAGATAACAATTGCTATTGCCCGAAATTCCTATGTCCCAAAATCCCTATATTCCGAAATACTAACCGAAGGTTCGACGCTGAACTAAAAAACAATAAATTGTTTAAAAATAATTACCACATTTCATACGAGAATAATTAAAGCATAGAACTCAATTATTATTATGATGATGTGTTAATTGATTCGTGAAGTTTTAACGAACGGGTGAATTTCAAGCATCGTTCGTGTTAAAGTTAGTCGATTTATGACGACGCCTGAACCCGTTGTATTTAATTTCGAACTAACGCTAACGACGAATCCGTTCTCTCATGCCAATTAATGGGATAGAATTTCAACGCGTGGGCGTAGAACATGCACGTTCGCCATTTAGATACTCGAGCTTGTCGTATCGGCCAGGACGTCCTGCAGCTACGTACGTTATACACTTACGAGGATTATTTCTGTAGATCGCAGATATTGCACACTGTTTGCGCAAATATCGGACGTGAATGAGAAATATGAATGGAACGTCGAGAAATATGTAACCCCCGAAGAAAACAACGTGACCGATACGGGTTCTTAAACGCGTTTCTATTTTTACGATACTTCTGCAAAAATATTGTTTCCTTTAATGTATCTGTTGGGAGAATTTATGAAATGTAAGATCGCACGTGCTTGTACGTCGTTAACCTCGAATTTTTTAAACAGTAACAATGTTTTTGCATCACTGTCAGACCGTATCGTTATTTGTACGAGACTTTTCGCAGGATAATCTTATCGTACCTATATCGGAGAGCAAACAAGTCGAATCAAAATTTTTTCTCTTTTGTGTTCGTCGCTTGTGCTCAAACAGAACGGTTTTATCGAAGAAAGTCCGTACGATAGAATTGCATTCAATTCAATTCACTTCTCACGTATAATTCGGATATTTTAATTGTCAATGAGGCATTTCAATTTATAATCAGATATTTTATTATTAGAAACTTCTAATTATATTATTTTTTGTTTGATCGAATCTCCTTAAATGATTATTATTAATCGACTGTACGAGGGAATCATTAGATTCCAAGATTTTTTAATTCAGGAAATAATTCTGAAATTCTATTATTAATAGAATCTATTATTAACTAAAATTAATTTTACTATAAATTGATCTTTTTATATCAAGAAGAATTGCATATATGTTATACAACAACAATAGAAGACTAGAAATAAACAACTGTGTTCTTATTAAAAAACGTGCACCCATCTTCGACAGAGACTGCAGCAAAGTAGCTTTAACGTCACTGACCAGACGACAGCACGTCTGATCACAAGCACCAACTACTAACAACACATGATACTCTATTTTCAAGTCCTTTTATAGCGCAACACTTTTGAATTTACTAATTTGTTCTCGAAATCGTGCGATATCGTAGAGCAAGCATAATCTCTCACAAAGGTCATCGATTATACGTGTTCCTGGTTCCGTGTACAACATCGTTCCGATAAATCAATACCTTCTAATTGCAACGAACGAGCACGCGATACTTTAATGAAACACGACGCTCTCACCAAATGGGAATTTGCATTGTACGAATTCGCTGCTGAATTTATGGTCGTTTATAGTATCCTACGGTTACGTAACCGCTTACATTGTATTCGTTAATAATTCATGGTGCATTAATTAAGATAAGAAAGTATGAAAGATAAACTTTGCCCGTCGAGATTTTTAGACACTGTTTGAATTATGATGTAACTATTGATATTTTAAATTAGTAAAACGTGTATTAATAGAATATAGTAAGGCCCAAAAGTGTGCAGAAATTTACGAATGCATCGAACAAGGCACAGCATGCACGAACCAACATAATAAAGCAACAGTGAAGAACAGAATGAAGAATGCTGTGGAAGGAAAAAGGAGAGGAGAAATAAAAAGAGGAAACGAGAAAGAGAGACAACAGAGCGTACGGGAAGAAGAAAGAAAAAGGCAACATAACCGGTAAGGAATAAGATAAAATAGGGGTCGGGAGAAGAGGGGAACGTGTGCAGCCATGTAGTCCGACCTTGGACTTATATAACAAGGAAGAATCTATACACAAAGTGAAGGATCCCAGGAACATACCATGAAGGGTGGAAAGAAACTATGCTGTAAAAAAACGTGCCAGTGTATTATATCGAGAGGTATAGTCCTTAGACTTCACATTCCTAAATCACCGTTTATATCCATATTAAAAACCCGACACATAAGCGTACTTATACCGAGACGTATATTTTTAAATTTTCTAGAATCTTCTAAGTTTTCTAAATCTCAGTATTTTTAAAAGTATTCATGTTTGTGTACCTTATTATAACTGTTTATACTAAGCTTATATATTTAAAAGCATGTTATTGGATATCGCTAATATAACTTTGATAATCACCTTATAAAATAACCTGCAAAGGTATTCTATTTGCTCTACTAGATTTTAGTATAGCTGCATCATGAAGGGTTGAACGGCAACAAACACGGAGGGGGTTAATTCGCGCTGGCTTGAGGTAGGACGTGAACAAACAGACGCCAGGTGTCGCCACATTGCAACACACACTGGACTCGGTCAAGCGATAATAATTCTCACGTGTCTCTGTCAAGCGGTACTATGGCTTTAATTCACTGTACACGAGAGATTATCTAGGTTAAAGACACGCCGTTATGCTGTTGCGTAATGCACGGTGCGTGGCCGTCTGAGCGAACAACTTTCTTCGATGCCTCGTAAATAAACATCAAAGAAAGATGAAACTTCGCTCGTATCTATTTACAGCGAATCGATTGCACCTGATGCTGTGCACGAAAGAAACCTGTACGCGGCTCGTAAAGAAAATTGTGACAACGTCACTTTCTTCGGGAGGCATCTCCGCTTTTACGAACGTATACGAAACACGCGTAGAGATTAAGCCAAAAGAGAAGGGTACAGTCAAGATCAAAAGTGGAATGCGTGACATACATTCGGCTAAGGGAACAATTTTCACAGAAAGGCTATCAGAAATGGAAATGTCAGGTCGTAGGAATGTAGAGATGAGTGAAAGTTAACTCCAAAACGAAATTTTCCGCTAATATCACGGTCGAATACCGTAAATGCGGTCACTGAACTAGTTCCGTTTCGACCCTGACACTGCCATTGCCCCCAGGTCGCGATTTGTGTCAGAGGCTCAATATTGCCGCGATTTTATTTGCATGTTAATCTACTCACCCCTTTCGCTGGACTCCATCTCTTGAAGGCTGTTGACACTGTGCTGTATGCACGGTACGCGACACGAGTATCGGACAAGTACACGTGGAAAATTACTTGTAGATTTCGGGCCGCTAGCTCAAAATTCACCACGATATAAACATGGCCGGTCGCTCTCTTGTCACAATTACCGTGAGGTCGTTGAACTTTTTCGAAATCACGGGACAACGTAGCTAAACACTGACTCTATATATTCTTTTTTTCAACGTACACGAAAAATGGTCAAATACCGAAGCTTGGTGCGTGCCGCCTAAAAATAGATTGTGAATTCGGCGATTGTTTTGACTAACAATGTAATTCGCAACCTACTCACAGGTAGCGCTAGGTGTTGGAAACACGGCCCTGTTACTATGTATGGCGCGAAATATGAACTTCGTTTTAATTTTAAAAACAAAAAGATCTTAATAAATATTTATACATTAAGAACAAAGTTAATCTAGTTTTTAACACAAACTTATCATTTATATTATTTATAAATTAATAAAATTATGTCAATCGTAACGAAATATGCAGTTAGAAAATATATATGACATTCTTATTTATAACCTGTTCGGTTTTGCAAAATACGTGAAAGATTTATTCTTCGTTTATGTACAATTCAAGCTAACACTTTACCTCTAGATATATTCCGAGATGCATGCTAGGGAAATGCTAGGAGCGTATTTCGTTCATGGAAACCCATCAAAATTATAACCTAACAAAATGTGTACAGTGTTTGTTTGAACCTCTTGTCATTGAGTTTGAATAATTTAATTAAATGTGTTTGTATGTTAAACACGTACACATATATTAATGGCAGGGAATGATATAAAGCAAAACTTACGAAAACTAGATTTTCCTTATTGCGCTAGAGAAGCTTTATGTAGAATCGGTAAGATATACCTCGAATGAGGTTATCCGCTAAATTTGAGAATATCTTTCAACGTATTTAATTTTTTCCTTAAAGAGATACTATGTGGCAGACCAGGGAAACAGATGGATTTGCAACTAGATTTAATATCGGAATTCGTATTTGGCGAAATAGAAAGGCGAAAGAAACGCAACATGACATTAGCAATACAAGAATTGCAGCTGATAGAGGTCCTAAGCGACTTCTTTCAAAGTCCTGGAGGAAGTCCTGCTGTACGCAACGCGGTCTTTTTGTCTCTTTTCCCGGCAGATAGTCCTAGATACAAAATTTTAGGCAATTTAGTATCTTTAGCTATTGTCACTCAAAATAAGGCAGTTTTGAATGCGACTGGAATTTGGATGCAACAGTTAGGCTCTACTTCTCCACAGAGTGTAGGATTAGCAAGGCATGTACTTAATGACTATTTTGTCCTTACTCCGAAATCTATTGACAAGTTGAAGCAGCTTCCTGTTCTTGCATCACATTTCACTGCCAACTTACTAACGGCAATAGGTGAAGTTTATGAGGACAAAGATCCACCTACGGAATTACTCAGGTTAATAGGAGAATGGATAGAGGAAAACCCAAGTCTCCTGTTAACCCCTTTAATGGATAATCCTGCTTTACCAACTGGTGGCATTCCAATGACACCAATAACACCCATAGCAGGTTTATTCAGGTAAAGAAAGAAATTTCCTTTGTAGAATAAATTTAAAAATGTTTATGCTAAGATTATCTTCTTCTATCAGATGGTGTATTTTATCTCCTGTGCGTGTAAACAGCACAGAAAATGCAGAGCATTCTGAAGAACAAAGAAAGCTGTACTCTAAAATTCAACAGCTATTAATGGACTCAGTATTAAGATTAAAGAACAGTGGAAATAACAAACATGCTATATCCGCACAGCATTTTGCAGCCACTACTCGTACTTTAACTACAAGTTTACAGTCTAATGTAAATATTAGTTCGACTTTACATGACTTAGCGATGGAACGACTTGCGCAAGCTGTTAGTGCAGCGATGTCTGCAAATTGTATTTACGGCAATAAACGTATGTATTATTATAATTTACGAATTTTATTATAAAACGTATGTAGAAAAACGTATTGTTATAATTTCATCATTTTTCTTGCAGAAGAGTTATTAGCATTATTACAACCCTTATCATATCAACATTTTTTAATCGAATGGACATTACAAACCTATGCATCCAAAGCTGCTTGATTACATTATATTAAGTTACTATTGTATGTTACTCTTGAACTGTACATAAATTGAAGTATAACGGTATACGCGACTGAATCATAGTTGTAAATGTAAACAAAATTTTTAAGATCTAATAAATATCTATTCTATGTTATGATTGTCGACTTAATTCAAATACCTTATACTCATTAAAATACTAATTAAAAATATGATACACTGATAAGCATAAAAAATTAAAATGGCCTAAATGTTCTTTTAGATTTTAAACTTTGCAATCTTTGTTTATCTAATTCGAACTTTTTCCTTAATTCTGCTAAGTCTGTAAACAAAAATATAATAAACCTTAAATAACTGAATTCTGTAACATTAAAATAAGTATGAGATGAAACTTACTTTGTTTTTTGCTCTCACGAATTTGGAAGGTATAGAAATTGAGCAACTGCTTTTTCTTATTCTTTTGTTCTTCCTTATATTGCACTTTAGTGATAGTAGATTCTTTTCTAGAAAGAGCATATTCTCCCCTCTTCTTTTGTCCAGTTACTGTTATCCAACCATCATTATCTTGTGCTTGTTCTTCCATAGCTTTTTCATTTGCTTTTTTCTCAGCTATCTTTCTATCATATTCCTCCATAAAAGTCTTAATTTCTTCCTTCAATTTATCTTCATCGCATATTGAGTTATTATACTCATAACGCCACTCTAATTCAACAAAGTAATTAAAAAATATTCTACAAGAACAAATTAAAAAAAAATATTGAAAGAGCTTACTTTGTAATCCTGTAAAACAAATATTTTTTTCTCCATTTATTGTTATTACAAAATCTGGAGAGGAATCTAATACTTCCTCTAATGCACTTTCTTTTTCAAAAACTATATATGCTGTTTTGAATCCATTTGGTGTTACAAAGAAAATGTCAGTAACATTTCCAAAAATTTCACTAAATACTGTCTGTAATGCTTCAGCTGTAACATACGGTGGTATATTCAAGACAAATAATGTTCTTCCTCTTGGATGTTCAGGCAATTGATGTCTGACAGAATGCTCTTTAAAGAATAATTGATGTTTGTCAATACTTTTCTTTGCAAATTGAATCCACATTGCTATAAATAAGTAAACAAACATTTATTTATGAGAGTAAATAATCTAATTAAAATAATTGATAAAATACTTGGTATTTACTTTTGAATCCCTTAAGGTCATGTTTCTTACTCTTCATGGTCATAATCTTTATTAAAACTAATAATAAAAAAGTATTAGGAAATATGTCAGGTTACTTATACTCCACGTGCGAACTCAATATAAGAGGGGGTTTTTGGTTACATGACATAACCTCAATTAAAGCATCGATGTAACTTAACATCAATTAACTATCTTGTCTATTCAAGGATTTAAAATAAATGATTCAAAAACAATTTAATCAGTGAATATATATTTTATTATATTCAACATTAGCGATACCGTTCTTTTCCTAAAGCATATTACAATTTTAATTTGAACAATGTATGAACTTTATGTTATTCAAGGTCAATTTTCACAATTATACACATATACATATATGCTGTACATGTACTCTTTGCTATATTTCAATACTAACAATTGCAAGTAAATGTCAGGGTCATATATCGTATATTCTAATTCAACACACCACTCCAGTACTTTGAAATAATATTTCAAAAATACAGAAATGTATACAATTTATTATAATTATTAATTTCGTTGGTTTTCAACAATTTTTTATTTAATTTATATATATGTAATATGATTTGTGCTACAAACAGTCAGTACATAAGTTTAAATGCTCAATTCCAAGAGTCAGGGTAATATTGATCATGAAAAACAGCAGGTAGCAGGTAACATGTAATAGATCTGTAGATATCATTCAGTCTAGAGTAATTGTGCGATCGTGTGTTAACTATGTTTAACGTAGCATTCTTTTGTGTTGTATTTTTGTATTTATTAACATATTCAAAGGGCAAAATTCTTCGGGGTCACCTCGTAACACGTGAAGTACTATCAATACTTTGTTTATGAACTTTTATACCTATTAATAAAATAATTTATGTAAAATATACTACACGTTTTTAAACATGTACACACCGTATTAATTATAATATAATATTATATTCGATAACTTTTACGCTGTTTTAAATAATAAACTCGATACATGTCACGAAGTTAATTTTTTTCAGAATTGGGCATTTTTAGCTAGATTCTGTTTTTTAACGGAACAGGGCACATTTCGATATGAATTTGAACTAGGAGGTGATGAAATCGATTTGAAAATATTATTATATTATGACGCGCCTGATCAATGGCCGAGCGTTTACCCGACCAACAAAACATGCATCGAAAAAGAAGCTTTACTTTGGGACGGAATTGGTCAAATAGTACCATTGTCAACATTAGCACCTGAACAATCGGGATGCGTCGAAGAAAATGCAATAACACGATGTTCTAGCTATCGCAGATTTCGTTCGTCTCGTCCGAGATGGTGGTTTATCGCATTGGCAGATTGTTCTTCAAAAACCGGATTGAATGTCTCGTACTGGATTTCGCTAACAAACGGCCCACGTGGCAACTTTTGGAAAGAACACTTTTCAGCAGATGAATTCTGCAAGTAACTTTAGTTTGTTTAGAGCAGGGATTTCTAAAGTTTCGTAGGCAAAAATGCAAAATAACAAAGTTTCGAAATTGCAAGTTTCAAAGACTAAAAATTTTGAAATCCTAAAGCGATCAAGATTAAAAATTCTAAGATCCCGGAATTAATTCAAGCCCTACACTTTGGGAATCTCTGGTCTAGTGTAACTTAATATTATGTAATTAAATGTATTTTCGTTTCAGATATATTACCAGAATTGATAGTAATTGCTTGCATTTATATAGTACTTGTTATACTAAGTTTCTATGCAGCTATGCAATTACGAGCAAGAAGACTATTACATGTATCTTATAAGTTATTTATGGCTTCTTTGCTTTGTCAATTAGTGGGGATTCTGTTTGAAATGTATAGTTACATAAATCTTGGCCTAAGAGGAATATCATCAGACGGTGCTTCATTGTTAGGTCAACTTTTAGAAGCATCTTCAGATATTTTGTATACCCTACTTATGTTATTACTTGCACTTGGTTTCACAGTAACTAAAAGTGTGTTAAAACCTAAACAAATTCGATGGCTTATATGTTTTATTGGTCTTATTTCATTCTGTCAATTGTCACTGTATATTTATCAGTCAGATGTGTTTGATCCTGGATTAGTACTATACATCTATGAATCACCACCAGGTTATGGACTAATAATATTAAAATTGATAGCATGGATTGTATTCTGTGTTTGTTGTTTTAAGACTGTTAGAAAAATGTCAGCCAAGCTTTATTTTTATGGTTCATTATTTTCATTGGGATCAGCATGGTTTTTGTGTCATCCATTAACGGTATATGTAATAAATATAATAACAATATAAAACACACTAGTGAATAATGTTTTTTGTTCTTCTGCAATATATATAAAAGGTATTTATGATCTTGTAGATACTCTGCATCACTCTGTTAATAGATGAATGGGTGCGAGAAAGCGTTGCTAAAGGATGTTCATTGTGGATTGTTTTTATGGGCCATATAGTATTTTTATACATCACTAGACCATCTATGGCCAATAAGCGTTTTCCGTTTCATATTAGGACATGTCAAGTCATGCCAATTGGTGGTGATGGTCAAGACCATGGCTATGAACCTCATGTTAGAACAGCAAGTTCTGCATTCACCATTTCACATCTACCTCCACCTACTTTGCAATCTTAACCATAAGCATGTTCTAAAATAGGTGATAATTTATGTAAGTATAATTAAATAATGACTCTATTTTTATTACTCTATTTTAATATTTACAACTAAGAACAGGCACATTATACACAGGTACAATTAGTTTAAGAGAAATTAAATGTTAATTTACATGTGATACTAATGCCTTTATCATTTTTTTCTTATTAGAAAAATATTTACAATAAACTTACATAATTTTTTGATATCACATATAGGAATTATCTGAGAATTTTAAATCATAACAATTATCAATCACATGAACCATCCAGCCAACCATCTCTCCACCTTTGGTTAACAAGTTTGCAATTAAACAGTGGTTTCCCAAGTTTTTTGTTTACCCCATTATGAATGTCACAAAGCCATTGACTTAATTTTTCCTGTGAATCAGTCTGAGGTGGAAAATGTTTTATTTGCTCTTGTAAATCTTCTGCACATACATTGCATGGATAAAACTTAGCAAATATATTAAAAAAAGTTTTCATATCTGATTTTTGTTCATTGCTCGGATTATTGGGATAATATGCTGCCATGGTATGTAAAAATGACCATGTGTTTGAACCTAATCCATCTTTATCCAATGGACAATCACGCCTAATATTATTTACAGGTTGATCTTTCTTCTGATTTTCCTCGGATTCCTAATATGAATGAAATGTACATATAAATACATATAATCTAAATCCTTCAGCAAAACAAATATGATACTTTCCATTATTTGGGAGTTAATACTTCATACATATCATAAACCATACAATTAGTGATTTGTGAAATAGTTTATACAATGATGTAATACTTTTTAATATGTACAATACTACTATATTTTTATTATTGTATCATCTACTTACGAAATATAAATATTCTTTTTTATCGATGATCTATTACTTCGCAGCATTTATTGGAATAAGCAACATAAAAGTAAAAAGATACAAAAATTTATATGGTATGTTTTCCTACCTTTGCAGTTTCATAAGCCTTATTTTGATTTTTTGCCCACGTTTTAAAGTCTGTACACGCACGACAGGGTTTATCGTGAGACATTCTGTTATTGTAAATATAGTATACATTCGTAAAAGCCTTTAAAAACTGTTATAATTAATAATATCCCCACGTGGATGATAACCTATTATACAACATTGTAATTTGTGAGTCTATTGCACTGTAAGAGAAATGTATAAATATTTGATATTTGTATTAAATTTGTGTAAAGTAAGAATTATTTATTGAATTAATTGTATTACAAAAAAGCGGTATCCTTTTGCACACACTACTATGTAATTTTCGTTGAATATGAGTCAGTGTATTTATGTAAGCATGTATATATAATCTATTTGATGGCTATATAAGTTAAAAAACAGTACTATCACTGCCATCTAGTAATGCTGTAAATACCAGTCTCAATTGATATAGTAGAATGCGACATTAAAATGGTCAGGCAACTCTAGCCTTGGAATTGTATGACATAAAAATGCATTGCGTGAATTAGTCCTATACGCCTATACACCGTTTAGGTTAGTATATGTAACAACTTATAATTCATTTCAGATAACAGACGATACATAATAATAACTCACAGTTGCGAAAGAGAAGTACGGAGAGGAAAGAGTATGTATACATATGCATTCCTTGTTCAAATGAATAAAGAAAAAGATTTTACATGCCTAACCTGACCTTATTGCATTCAGCAGGTGACAAATGTCAAGTGTAGTTTTGACTGCGCCACAAATGATATGGTTGTCGGTAAGGTCGATCTTCTGCATAGGCATAAATGCATAGATGATGGCGAGTCGTAAAAATGTAAGGCGTCATGTCGGACAGGTCATGTCTTCTTCGTCATCTTCGTCTTCCGAAGAAGAGGTAACAACGGGACGTCAAAATTGGAGTAAGAAGTTGGAAGAAAATTTTATTAGAAATCGTACTGACACGGAATCTCAAACAGGTTAGATTTAACCTGATATATTCTCATAAAATTTGGCTACTAATTAGCTTAATATTTCTTGTTTCTTATGTTTTATAGGACAAGATACATCAAGAAATGATGAAGATCCTTTTAGCTTGAGACACTTTTTACGAACAAATTACCACAATGCTGGAGCTCGTCCAAAGATTTATTCTCCTGCAAATCCAAATCCATTTAACTTAGAGAAGGATTCTGCAGTTTATCCACGAAATCCAACTGAATTACCAGACTTTGTGCAAGATCATTTGGGCATAGAACAATATTACTTGAATCAGGAACAAAAACAACAACCTATTTCAGATGTAGATAATCTTCCTGATTTTGCATTAAATAGTGTAGAGCAGAGACAGGGTCGACTTAGAAATGAGTCAAAGAAAAGTGAATCTAATGCATTGTGTGATCCTTCAGTTGGAAGAGGGTTACCTCGTAGGATTAAATCAAAACCAAATATAAATTCTGCCCATTTAAATTTACCTGGCTTTGCTAGATCTAGTGTAGATTCTACTAAACATCCAGAATCATCAGGTAGTTGTAGTATAGCACATTAAGTTACTTCAATCATAATTTAAATAAGTATTGTGTTTAATTTCTATTATTATTTAGGGTTTCCATTAGATTTACCAATACCTGTGTCTGAGTCTCATCCTGGTTCAACTATTAGTCCAAGAGATTGTCCTGGAACAAGCGAAGCAAATATTCCAAAATCTTTACCAGACTTTTTAAATGATGGCCCTATTCATAATAGAACAACACTGTCAACAGAGTGTGGATCTATTCCAAATAACATAGAATCAACAGAAAGAAGGGTAAATAACAATTAAAATATTGATTTTCTCAATATGTAAGGAATGTGTTTTCTTATTATTTTTGTAATTATAATATATATTTTTTCCAGTTACTATTAGAAAATGAAAGATTACGTTATGAGTTAGAATTGGCCCAAAAACAAATCAGTGAGAAGTCAGAAAGGTAATTGTAGGAATGCCGATTACGCGCGAGAGTGTATTCTTTAATTCAATTATGTTATGTTCATTATAGAATTCAGTTACTAGAATCAAAATTGGCATCTTGGAGAGCAGTAGAACATGAAGAAACAGTTCATCTTGAAAAAGCTATGGAACAAGTGGAAGATAATCTAAAACGTAGTACGGTAAATACTACTAATATTTATATTTCATATATTTGATTATTATTTACAACTATAATTTCTTTTCATAGAGAAGAGCAGTAAATGCTGAAAGTACTGTTTCATCGTTAAAAAAGGAAATTAAGTCTTTAACGGTTGGTATACATTCAGTGTTCATAAATATTTTGCGAATTACTTAATTACTAAATGAAAAACATATAATCTTAATTCAGACAGAACTATCGATGCTACGATTAGAAAATACAGAACTCAAAGCTGGGATTATAGCAGGAAATACAAACGAATGTAGCTCTCCAAATGTGGATCAGAGAGTAAAACGACTTGCTAGTGATTTGAGAAATGCTGCTTCCTCAGCCGAGATATCATTGAGGTAAATGCATTGATTTCAATTAGATTTCAATATTAAGGAATTAAGATAATAATATATTAATATTCTTGTAGGCAATTAATGTCAGGCGTGGACAATTTAAGAGTACTAGCTTCTGCACTTGAGAATGTGGATAGGATACAAGACCGGACCAAAGATTTTCTACCGGATTTTGACGAAGACAATGCTGCTGGTCCTGCACTTTAATACATTTTTATGTACCTTTTTCCTGTATACCACCCTTATTTTACTTCCACATTTCCCAGCCTGTGCTAATTAGTTCCTAGAATTCACGTATTTAAGTGAAATAATAAAGTTTGTTAAATTCGTAAACATGATGTTTAAATCATGTCTTTTTAGACTTTTATATGTTGATTATTGTTTTAGAAATTTCAAGTTACATAACAATCATCCTTCTACAACAACTGTATATTGCTAATTCTACTTAGCAATGTATACCGTTTCAAATGTCATTTTAACCTTTAGTAACAAGTGTGAGTAAAATAATAGCTTAAATTGATTGCGATACGGTTCCAAACGAAAAAATTAAGGATTTTAACTTTTATATGTACATTTTGATGTAAAGCCATAAAGTAAAGCACTGGTTGGGATTTTAGTTATAATTCGAACACAGTTGTTAAAAAAAAAAACAATATTTTAATAGTTATTGTAACAATGTTACTTGTACAGTTTCTGATTACATGTTCCATTTCTTTGTAAATGTTGAAACATTCAACTGAACAGTTAGATTTTGAAGTAGACCAGATCTTCTATGTATTTTTCTATTTAAGGGGAGATGTATTCCCCTTAAACAAGGTTGTAATTATACAAACTGAGGAACAAATATGTTTTTCTAAACAGTATAGTAACAATATATCTTATACAAAAAATCAGGTTCTCAAAAAGTTGCCTTTGTATGTGACATGTGAAAGATTTCAAATATTTAAATCTAGAAGTTACGTCTATTTACATGTATTAAAAGATAAATTGCATTGAACATTTCTAAAACCCATATTCTAATACTATAATAAAATATTTTATATCTTCATACTATATATTGTGAACGCATTTTGAAGTTGGTGGATTGATACCTACAATGAAGAATGGTTTTTAATGTACACCATTAGTAGTAATGTCATATTTTATATTTACATTAAAATTTTTTTATACAACAATTCATAATTATTATTAATTTATAAATCTTTAGATTTAATAATTTATGTTAGATATGAAATAATTTGAAAAGATATTATTATAAAGAATTTATTGAAAATTTTACGTGTTATTTTCTTTTTATAATATAAATTAATAATTAGTAACATTTTTCATTGTGCAGGTTTATACAATTAATGGATTTGGTAATAAGTTACTTATAGTACAATTATATATTGCCTATAATGTGTATTTTTTTATTTTATTAATACACATATAAACAACTTTTTAAAACTTAATATAATCTTTAAAAAATGCAGTTCTCAATTAAGGCATATAGTATTTCATCAACAAATTGCACATACACAGGAACTTAAACAAATTAATTTATAATAAAATATAAAAAATACCAAAGTATTAAATAACAATATGACAAAATTAAGTCTTAAATCTAACAAATGCAAGTTATTTTTACTTTATGTTTAAAAGGCTTTTCTCAGATATCAGTTGTTATATTTTCATTTAGTATTAAAAAAATGAAATGTTTTATTATTGAAGACTTTCAAAGATACTAAGTAAGTCAGTTTGTGTTTCAGTATGACTAATTTGAGTACTTAACCAGGAACGACAAGCACCTATCGAGATATTGCAACCTGTTTCGCATAGCAAGGATTTTGTTTGCGTTTCAGCGGAAACGGTAGTATCCTCGAGCTGAGTCCATGCTGTTTGCGTTTGAATATTTGATAATCCCAGATCAGATGGTAATATTTCATTACAAGTTTGAGTGCATGTATTACTATATAACAGTTCCATGTTATCGAGATTGTTCGTAGTTTGCGTTTCAATGGTAGAACTCAAAGTAAATGATCTGGATAAGGTATCCGAATCAAAAAACGATTGGGAATACGCTTGTTCTGTCTGAGTTTCTATACTACTAAATTTGTCATCAAAAGTTTTGTCTGTAAGCATGGGATCTGACCGTGATATGCTGTTTGAGGATACAAAAGAGTATCCTCCAACAACTGATGATGTTTCCTCAGCATAAGGTAATGTCATTAGTGCAACTGTACTCTTTGGAACACATTGTATCAGTGGATTTGTATTATGATCATAAAATGTTTCAAACTCCGTTTGAGTAACATTATCATTGAGAACTTCAAACATATCTTTCTCAGGTATAGTTTGTGTACCTGATGTACTTTTATCTTCCCAAAAATCATGTAGCCCATCATCATGACGAAGTGGCAATGGACTATTAGGAAATAAATTTGTAGGTGTAAAATTGCCAAGATTAAGATCTTCTTTTAACAATGTACAATCAGAATTTTGTGACACAGAGCTTTTTCTATGCTTATGAATTCTTAGTGCATTCTTAAATATTTGAGAAGCTGCTGTAGTCTGTGTCTCCATAGATATTACATTTTGCCTAATCTTTTGAGATATGTTTGTTTGAGTCTGTTTAGACATTTCACGTTTTCCATTATGACAGTGACTATTATTATGTTTTGATGGACTTAATATTCGTCTATTCCTTTTATGTTCATCAGTCTGTACACCAATATCTGAAGTAAGCTTACGCACTGAATTATTACCATGATTAGATATTTTATTCTCACTTTGATTTGTTGGTAAAATAGCAATTAATTTATTTATTTCTGTTTGACTAGTAGGTAAAATCATTCTTATCGTTTTTGAGCTTGTACGTCTGTAAAAATATTTAAATTATGATGTAAACTAATGATTATAATCTAATATAACAATGAAATATTAAGATACTTGTCTTTTATGATAAATTTACCTTAAAGAATTTTTATATTTGTTATTTACAGTATGTAATGATCGTTTTGCATGTGTAAGTAATGCCTCATAAGAAGTGTAAGTTTTTGAGCATGAACATGTAAATTCAATTCCACATACTCTCATATGTCCTTCTTTAGCTGCTTCAGTAGAAAAACTCTTGTCGCAGTGGGTACATGCATATGTCTTTTTTGCATGTACTTTAAGATAATGCTAAATATGCATTGGTAAAGACATACATAATTAAATTTAATCATTTCATAAATCAATGCTGCAATAAATAATAGTTTATAACATAGGACTAACCTGCTTAAGATATTTCATGCTATTAAAATGTCTTTCGGCATTTGGAGCGTAAATACAAGATTCCACAGGACAATGATATTGAACATTTTCTTTGATTGCTTTATCTAAATTCTTACGTTGATGAACTTTAAGATCGTGTAAACGATATCGTGGTTTATTTTTAAATACAAGACCACACTTGTCGCATTTAATATTATTCGTTATCACGCTAAGCTCTTCCGCCGATGGACAAATAATTTTAACACATTTTGAGACATTTTCCACCGGTTTTACTTTTTCCATTAGAGGTTATCTTTGTGCTGCAGTTGAAAATGTATACAAATTACCGCTCATATAAATTGATCCAATCGATCCAAACAAGCGCACACAGCGCCGCCGCGTTTCTTAGAGCAATTAAATGATGTTCGAAATGGATATATAAAATTCAAATTTTGTTAATTGATTCCTTTCTGTTTTGTAATAAAGGGTAGTAAATGGAATTGTATGTCAGTATAAACCTAAGTATATTCTGACACGTCTCATTGTCAGTTTCAAGTAGTGTAATTTTTCAATTGGTATTTAGAAAAACTATATAAATCCTACAGTAATAGTAGAGCGCTTCATATGGTCTCCTTGCGTCTTTGTTTAATCACACATGCGCAATAAAGTATGGATATTTTTTATATATATTCATATATTATAGGTATGGTGATAAAATTATATTCAATATATATTTAAGAAAACTCAACAATTAGGAAGTAATAAGGCTTCGTATTATCTTATGTCGATATTTTCAAAATAAAACGCGTACTGCCGGTCGATGAGCAACTGCGCATGCGGAATTAGATAAGGATACAATGGTTTTTATCATAAACCTAAGAATATAAAGACAGAACATATACGGGAGGGATAATTTACAAATGCACAGCTAATTCAACATAATAACACATTCGTTTGTAATATCGAAAATTTCTGTATACTTTTGATATAGAAATTTGAAACGTATGTACTATATTATAATCGTCACGAATGCAAGGTATATGCCAATTTGGAAACTCAGCAGTTTAAGGTCGTCGTACGCTGGATCGACACAGTATGCTCTACTTCTCACACACATATACCACAAGCACACACACACACGTGACACATATGTAAACCTCTACATATATAGCTGCTTTCCCAGATCAGTACACCAGTACAGTTCAAGTAGCGCTGTTCGTTACATCGCTCTACTTGTCATTAAGTGATTATACATGAATCATACATTGTGTTTTTAACGTTTTTGTACAACAATTACATATCTTTTGTATAAAATAAAGTTATTCAACTGCTTCGAAACGCAGTTTCAAGTCCAGTATAATTATATGAAATTTGCGCTTTGTGAATAATTTATCGTGTGTATTTTACTTCGTAGTACATCACAGTTCAATCCTTCAACCCGCCTCGGATATTAGCAAGTTTACCCGATCTTTAAGGGTAGGAGAATTTTATATTTTACATATAATTGTTACTTTCATTCGTATTTTATGAAATCTACAAATTTTTACTCGTTCATGTGCATTCACTGACAACGTCGCTATTGATTTGTAGTAACGAATGCCGCGTAATACGTGTCTGTTTGATTACAAATTATAGGGGCATGCTCTATCATTGAAACGAATAGCTTTATTGTATTATGATGGAGCTTCCGACAGATTCACTTTAATCAATAGGAATCTTACAAATTACATAAGCGTAGTCTTCATTTGATTTTTATTAGCGTTTGCAAAATAGTTAAATAATTATAGTTGATATTGTCCATTTATTTTTTCAAAACTGCACCATACATTTTCATAGAGAAATACATAAATTAAAAAATTAAAAAATTTGAAGTTTTCATATTTAATTTTTCAAAATTGTACATAAGTGGAAGGCTCCTCCCTCCACATTATTTTTTATTCGAAGGAAGTCTAATTTATATCCAATATTGCAATTCCCATTGTACATTGTTTGTACCAAATAATTTAATTATTAATTTATTGACTTAAATATTTTCGTGTTACAAAATTATTTATAGTCATCATAACTATTACTACTGTAAGATGATTCGAACGGTATGATTTAAAACTCGGTCTAACAACAAAATGTTGAAATCTTTTAAGTTCGTCTTGCGAACGTGCCAACTAACCTACTCCAGTAAAACAATAAAATTCTTTTCGCTTATTCGAAAATACTCGATTGTCAAGGATCATTAAATATTTTTCATTCGACCTTCGCGTGACTGGAAATTAACAGTACCTACACTTAACTGGCATATACGACAAAGCCACACGTAAAAAGATGTCAAACATAATTATGTTTAACATAGATTACGCAAAAAATGTATAATAACAATAATTTTCTTTCAAATTGGGAAATAACTATTGTGTCGTGGTATTAGTTGCCGGTAACAGGAAGGTGATAAAGAGGAAAGAACGTCATTTCGGAGAAATGAAAGACACATCGAATAAAAAATATGAACAATTTTTCGACGAAAATGAACTGGACGCCTCCAGCGACAAGGAGCGAAGTGAAAATGCAGCAGTAAAGGAGGTAAAAATGTTTTTAAATTAATATTACGTTATCGAATAATTCACATTGGTTACTTTTTAAATATTTTTATTAAATATATACGATGCGAACAAGTTGACAATGTTTACAGTAATATAGTTTACATGAAATATGTAAATAGAAATCTGGAACAATTTGAAAGGTTCATTGTAACTGTGGTGTCTTCAAATGTTTCGGTATCGATCGAATGCTACCCTGCCAACAGCACCTGCCAGGCTTTCAATTGTTACCTGTAGATTTGTAATAGGCCAATAACATTCTGTTTTCTTTTGTCACTAATGTACTGTCTTCATAATTATCAAGATGAGGAGTCGCGAAGTTCTTATCAATTTTAGTTCAAATAATTTTTTAGCGACAAAAGACAACGCGCGAGCATTTCGAAATATAAGCGGTAAATGTGAATGTCTTGATCTAAGGTAACGAAGTTAATGATGTAGTCTTGAACATTCCACAAAAAACGATCGATAATTGGCAACATGAAAAATCATAAATCAGACCATAAATGTAGGAGTTCTAAAGCTCACAAAACCTTGTAATTGCTAAATGATCGAATTGGAATTCCACGATCTAGGAATAAGTTTGTATGGTCGAAAGTACTGGAACCAACTGGAACACTGTTCTGGACTTTATACCAGACAATGGTTCCAAATGTAATAACATAAAATAAAAATCGGGTACATTATTTGAAAGTAAGTTATCATTTGAACATAATATTTTTTTATCCGTATCACGAGTCAAACACTTGAGTAAAGATTGATAAGTACAATTTAGCAGAGTACTTAATATGTATTACTTACTAAGTATCATTAACATCCTAATTTTTTTTTTCGATCCACATAAATATATGTATATATCGTTACACCACGTGTTCAAGATTAAATAATTTTATTAAAAATTTATATATGCATTTTAACGTTGGCGTTCTGTGAATTTTGTGAAGGTTAGAATTTGCGTTATATGTATTAACAGCTTTATATGAATAATGAGATACAATTCTTAATAAAAATGTTAATCACTAGATATTTTTGATCTTTCTTATACTTACCTGCTGTACGAATATCTTATTGTGATAAAAACAACATTTACATGCTGTAATATCAACAGAACATTTGACTCACATGTCATGAACCTAAACATTAGTTTGACATTTAATTATTTTTTATTTTATAAACTGGAAACGTATTTAATACAGCTATATTTTATAACAGATATATAATCATATTTACTTTTGGTATATTATATAAATAAATAAATGAAGAATTGAATATATGCATGTTATAAAAATTAAAAAATTTTGCAATAAAATTAATGGTATATCAATATGATGTGATTACATCTTTACAACTAGTTTTTAAAATAATACATTTTTATTTTACAATAAATAAAAACTTTGATGTAAAGATTAAATAACTAAAAAAAAAATATGGAGAGATGAATATTAGGTTGGTGCACATGGAATATCAAATTTTGAAGATATTATCATATATAATAAGATATTAGATATGGTATTATCAATTTAAAGATTAAATTTTGAAAATGAATGACATAAACCATTTGTTAGTACTCTTAACAAAAAAAGCTGGTTAGCAATTATTAGAAACAGCAGTTAATTCCAAAATTTAACATTTAATATGTAATAATCTAATAAATAATTCTTTTAAATTAAAGGATACCGAATCAAAACCAGAGATGTGGTTAACAACAGCAGAAGCAGCCAGCCTTGGCGCAGAAGAAGTTGCAGCAAGGCTTCACGTTGATGTCAGAACAGGACTCTGGTGGCAGGAGGCTGATCATCGAAGACAATTAGTAGGATTCAATGAATTTAGTGTTAAAGAAGAAGAACCAACATGGAAGAAATACCTTGAACAGGTATATTTGATATAGCTTCTTTATATGATTACAGTAATCATACAATAATCATATTTTATAAATTTTTTTCAGTTTAAAAATCCTTTAATTCTACTATTACTTGGTTCTGCTTTTGTTAGTGTTTGTATGAAGCAATTTGATGATGCTGTCAGTATTACAGTGGTAAGTGATCCAATTCCACATTGAGTGATTACAATTCCACATTGTAATTTATATAATTTATATTCAAAAATACCTAATTGATGATATATATTCTTCTAGGCTATCATAATAGTGGTAACAGTTGCATTTGTACAAGAATACCGCTCTGAAAAATCTTTAGAAGAATTAAATAAATTGGTGCCACCAGCTTGTCACTGGTAAATATAAGTTTACATTTATATTAAATCAATATTTTGCAATGTTATATTGAATATCAGTTAAAATGCTTCAGTAGTATTTATTTTAATTAACATTTCCTTTAGAATTATGGTCCTTGGAGGATAAATTAACCCTTTGTATGGAGCATTCCTTTGCCTTGTTAGAAAAGAAGATGTAATATCCAATTCCAATCAGTAGATCAGTAAGGTGAAATTTACTTGCCATAACCATTTGTTTACCAAAGATTGGTTAATAGGTTCAGGATGGAAGTTAGACTCACTTTTTCTTACAATGTACAAGAATGTCTGAAAGTTAGCTTTTATGACCCTATAATAATTTCGTAATATTTTGTTTACAGCTTACGAGAGGGTCGTTTAGAAACATTTCTCGCTCGCAATTTAGTTCCTGGTGACGTAGTTTATTTAAATATTGGGGATAGAGTTCCTGCAGATATCAGGATATTTGAAGCAATAGATTTAGCAATTGATGAGAGTAGTTTTACTGGAGAAACAGAACCAGCGCAAAAATCAACAGCCCCATTGCTTAAAACTAATGGAATGACAACAAAAAGGAATATTGCATTTATGGGTACATTAGTGCGTTGTGGAAATGGAAAAGTTAGTTGGATAAATTTTTAAAAGAATAAAATACATTTGTAATTTTAGTTGTGTTAAAGACAAGTATTTTATAGGGTATAGTAGTGAACACCGGAGAAAAGAGTGAATTTGGTGAGGTGTTTTCTATGATGCAAGCGGAAGAAGCTCCAAAGACACCGCTCCAAAGAAGTATGGATATCTTAGGCACTCAGTTATCCTTGTATTCATTTTGTATCATTGGTATTATTATGCTTCTTGGCTGGATCCAAGGCAAAGCAATACTTGAGATGTTTACGATCAGCGTAAGTTTAGCGGTAGCAGCTATACCAGAAGGTTTGCCGATCGTGGTAACCGTAACGTTAGCATTGGGTGTTATGAGAATGGCGAAAAGGAAAGTTATTGTAAAGAAATTACCAACAGTTGAAACACTTGGTAAGTGACATTATAACATACTTGCATAATATTTATCGAATCCAAATGTATAAATATTTTGTCGCGAATGCGTAGGTTGCGTGAATGTGATATGTTCTGATAAAACTGGTACTATCACGAAGAACGAGATGACTGCAACCATTCTGGTAACATCTGATGAATACATAGCTGATATTACTGGTGCTGGTTATAATGATAAAGGTGAAGTACGGATCCGAAAATGCGATAATTTTGACCTTGCGCGTACAGCTATCAGCAATATGCTGGAAGTAGCGTGTGTCTGCAATAACGCTATCATACAAAACGATACTTTGCTTGGTCAACCAACGGAAGGCGCATTGTTGGCATTGACAATGAAATATGGAATGTATGGAGTTGCTGATAAATATCTACGATTACAAGAATATCCATTTTCATCCGAGCAAAAGATGATGGCTGTGAAATGCGCACCGAAATATGGAGAGGTAAAATAACGTTTCAATGTATGTAATTTTCTCTTAATTATATTACTGTACAAAAGTTAATGTTCCCTTTATCTTTCCATTTTTGTATGTTACAGAATAGGCAAGAAGTATATTTTATAAAAGGTGCTGTGGAAAAGATTTTACCTTTATGTACCAAGTATTATGTTAATGGTCAAGTATGTCCTCTGAGCGAAAAGAAAGACGAAGAATTTTTAACGCAAGCCTATGACATTGGACAACAAGGATTAAGGGGTATTTTTCAATACTCATAATTATGCCATTATAATAATATTTTTACTTTATTATTTATACATATTTACAGTAATTGGATTAGCACGTGGAACATCATTACAAGATTTAGCATACGTTGGTCTCGTGGGTATATGCGATCCTCCACGACCGCATGTTCGTGAATCGATAACAACTTTGATAAACAGCGGTGTTAAAGTCAAAATGGTTACTGGCGATGCAAAAGAAACTGCATCAGCGATAGGTATGACGTCAATTTATAATATGTATCTATACTTTATAAGGATTCTGCGTGAACAGCATACGAAATTTGATTTTTTCCTTTAGCAAGTATGATTGGGCTAGATGTACTTCATTCACGAGTAATTTCCGGAGACGAGATTGACTTAATGTCTGAGCACCAATTAGAGCAATGTATTAATAATGTCAGTGTATTTTATCGAGTCACACCTAAACATAAATTATGTATCGTAAAAGCACTGCAAAGAGAAGGAAACATAGTAGGCATGACTGGTGATGGTGTGAATGATGGAGTCGCTTTAAAAAAAGCAGACATTGGTATAGCTATGGGTAAAAACGGTACCGACGTTTGTAAAGAAGCTGCGGACATGATTTTAGTGGATGATGACTTTGGGGCTATTATGTATGTATTTATTTTTTGTTTAATAGTCTTATCGTGTTCTTCTCTCATGACATGTTTTCTTTAGTGCCGCAATCGAAGAAGGAAAAGGAATTTTTCATAATATTCGAAATTTTGTAAGATTTCAATTAAGTACCAGCATAGCTGCCCTTTCTCTAATCGCTCTCGCTACTTTGATGGGCATACCAAATCCTTTAAATGCAATGCAAATCCTTTGGATTAATATCATTATGGATGGTCCACCTGCTCAAAGGTATCTCGATAATCAGAAAAACCGTTCAATGTATTATAAGATAATGTTAACATGTACGCATGTGTGTGCAGTCTTGGTGTTGAACCAGTTGATAAAGACGTGTTGAAACAAAAACCACGTAACACAAAAGAACCAATGATCACACGACATCTAATTGTTAACGTGTTGTTGTCAGCCATTATTATCATCCTTGGTACTTTATGGGTTTATAATAGGGAGGTATGAAATGATTTCACTGCGAATAAATATTTACTTGCAAAAAATTACTGTATCTTTTACTTTTAACTAGATGACGACCGATGGGAGTACTGCAAGGGATACAACCATGACATTTACATGTTTCGTTTTCTTTGATATGTTTAATGCTCTGAGTTGTAGATCACAGGTAAAGCAACAGTTTCTAATATTATAAATAGCGACGATATATACAGGTAAAGAAGACTATAATATTTTTGCAAATATGTTTCAGACGAAGTCAATATTCACTATTGGTTTGTGGAGCAATAAAATGTTCCTGGTAGCCGTAACGTTATCAGTAATAGGACAAATGTTGGTAATTTACTTTCCACCGTTACAACGAGTTTTTCAAACTGAAGCACTTTCGGCAAAGGGTACGTATTTAAATCGTGAAAAATATTGTCGTGTTAAACAAAAATTTATTGTTATATTGTTAACAGATATCTTGTTCCTCGTCGCACTCACGTCAAGCGTTTTCGTAATTAGCGAGATAAAGAAGTTTATAGAGAGGCAACTTTACAGGCGACGTGCAGGTACACAATATTACAATAAATCTGAAATGGATTTTGTATGACAGTTGCAGTCTGCCGAAGATAAGGCGGACAAGGATCATTTGGAATAAAATACCCAACACATCGTACTGGTAGTAGTCATTCGTTCGTTTATCAACATTATCTCGCTATACACATGACTATGCTTGCACATTTGTAAACTTGTATGTGCACTTGTCACAAAACGAACATGCTTCGCGTTCTCCACGCGTTTAATTAAGATTTACAAATGACTGCGTTTTTAAACATTTACAAATTTTCGGACTCTCTGAGGTTACGATAGGTGGATTTTTAGGATTAGAATTAGCCGTTTCTCGACTTCACGGTGAACTATCGATATTGAACACATTTTGAGACTCTAAGCACATTCCACACATTTTTCGTAGAGAACGGAAGAATTTTAATGATAGTACTCGCAATCGTATTCATTGGGATAGTATACGCGAAATGTCGGATTTCGAAAATAGAAAGCTAGGCACGTTTTGATGACATAAAACTATTGGAAGCTTCAAAACTTCAAAGTGTATTACATAAGTACTGTTTTATGGTACTTTTATGTCATCATATTGCATTATACTTAATATTTTGATATCCAGCATTTCACGTAAAACAACCTAATAGTAATCTTCGCATCAACCATGATATTGTTCTGTCTAATACGTCTTTTCTAATCTTTTACTAAATCAATTTGTCGTTCGAAACATGTCTCTTACTGATTTTTACTATTGTCTGTATCCGTTTGGGTCGCGTAATTATAGAACGTATTAACAATTAATAAAACATAATCCGTGACGAAGAAACATATGTTTACGACGTAATTAAGTACACGAATCGATTGCATTTAAAACATACCAGTAATTATAATTGGAAAAATAAACGATCTTGTAATGTTCCTTACTTCCATTAAGAAACCTGATATGCTTCCGACAGCAAGGAAAAAAAATAAAAACATTTGTACTGCAATTACCATATATTATATAATATAAATTCTTCGTATATTTGCAAATGGTAAAAAGTTTCTTGCAATCGGAAGCAAAGTCGTGTGTATGTATTGTGGTGTCTATTTGCAAACTATCACCCTCTACAGTAACAATTGCAGCTCATCGAAATATCAACAATTTGCATAGTGTAATGTAGGTGTCTTATTAATGGATTCCCTCGAGTGCGCTGTAAGTTTTATACTGGTATAGATCTGGTCCTCCATAGCCGTAGAGCAACTTCCCTCTGCCATTTTCGTCGTAGTATGGATAGCGGTACTTAGGCCTTTAAGCAGGTAAATAGTAATTGTATTTGGTCTCCTTTTATGTACAAGTAGCTTGCATTGTAATTATTTGTATGGTCCTAATTTTTTAATTTCTTTAAATCAGGGATTCTCAAAGTCTCTTCCTTTTCAAAAGAGTAAATTTTACAATCATCTCAAAATCCAAGGTGATGTCCTACTTTGAGAGTCCCTATTTTAAATGACAATTTTCTTTTTTATACAACTATTTTTTCCTATAGTAATTGCTCGTTTGTTTTAGATGTCAGTACGCAAGATATCCTTACCTCTCAAAATATTGAAAGTTAGGTGCTTTCGGTTGTGCTATGGTAGCTGCGTTTTCCGCAATTAACCCAAGTAAAAACGTGACAATTGTCATTAGGATTATGGTCGTCCACTGAAAGTAGGTCAATTAATGTTAACCCGTAGAACTATGCAAAAAACCTGCTCATGTGTTTTACGTAATACATGTTTTCATAATGACTGCAAAATTCAGAGAAGAAAAAAGAGTATCGTTTTATGTGGCATGTGCACCGTAAGTGGGTCGAACAGTATTTTATCTACTTTACAAAAAATCTCTTTAAATAAATCCTCTTTAATGCGCAAACTGTTGCATACGATCTTTTTTAACAAAATTATCGATTTTTTTGTAACAGAATTTTTTAGTCTACTTACAGAAGCGTGTCTCGCCATTGTGATCACTGCAGGTTCAAACAATATTCGTTTGCCAAACGAAAGTTTGATACACCGTATTAGAGTGTTCGATTACGCTTTTGTTTATTGAAACGATGATTTCGATGGAAAAGAAGACGGAAGACACTACGGCCCGTACGATTGGCTCTTTCCGTTTTTCTGATTCCTTTTACCCTGGCTCATTCTGAAGTCCGGTACCGTTCTTCTTCCCCACCTTCTTCTTTCTTTGACGCCATCAAGTGAAAGTCGAACGGGACATACTGGACTTTGCGCGTTTCTGCACGTATACGCACCTGATGCCAGGATGAACAAGAACCTTGAAAATTGTACTCTGTTCCCCGAATTATCGAAAGCATTGGTGTCGAAATTACTCAAGGTCAAAAAAAGAATGATTTCAAAACATACATTATGACATAGTAATGTAACTAAAATTCAATTCATTTAACTAAAATTTAAGGATACTCTTTTGAACAAAATTTTATATTTTAATTTTGCAAAGATTTTATAAGTAAAGAGGTGATTATAAGAAATATATTTTTATTTTTCAGACTAGCTAGGCATACAGTCTTCGACATAGTCGATTGATTATTAAAGTCCCCTTTTTACAGTTAATTGATTAATTTTAATCGATGCGCTTTCACGCTGGCGTTCCCCATGGACCTTTGTATCCAATACCCATGCCGATCCTCTCGATGGCGAGCTCCCCATGGCGACCATTTTGCTGCTCGTACTTTACTCTTCTCTGTTTCCCGACGTCCGGATCAAAGTCCCATTCCGTCCGCTGTGAATCGCAGGTAATTGCAACTTCTTTTTAACTTTGACTTTCTTGTTCTTCAGAGTGTTATACTTGCCTCATGGATGAGCGGTATCCCCGCTACGTTATACTGAATCAGGTCGTGAATAAACGAGAAAATGTTAATGGATTCAGCTGCTGAGACGACGTGGTTGTCGGCGTGAAACAGCAAGAGACAAGTCAGAATTACCTGCAATGACACCGAAGTTGACTATAATCTTAGCTGTAAAATCCTCGGATGACGGGATGCTTGAAGAACAATTTAAATTTAATTTTCTAAGCTTTGAATTATCATGGAGAAGTTTTTGGTTAAAGAATGAGTTGTTAGTTAGACAAAGTATTCTTGTATGTGTTTTAAGTCTTCAGCATCCGCCATTCAATATCTAAGCATGATCATATTACAACCCTGTGCGATTGTTTGTATAGTCGGAACTGTATGTACGAGCATGTATGCAAAACTCATCTTTAGCTTTGTATAATTATTTATTTGTTATGATTTTGTTGTTAGTACACGTTGACACTTTGACGGTAGCTTTTGTAAACATCTCTACTGAACAAGATTGTGTTTCAGTGTTTGAGTCATAGAGTATTTTCAAACTTTTAACACATTGAAGTCAATTAAAACAATTGTTTGAAAGAGCACGGAGCCTGAATAAATATTTTAAGCATCTGGTAAAATAAAAAGAGTTAACACACTGTGAGAAAATAAACTCTTGAATTAGTATCCAAGAGATTAAAGATAAGGTAAAAATCAGCAGTCAAAGTGTTAATATTATTATACTTTAATTATTGGGTTCTTTAGATCAAAATTGTATGGTCAACAAAATATCTATAGTAAAAATTACAAATAAAAACAGTGTGTTGTACAATAAAATCAGTACCAAACTGACACCAAACTATTTCATTAAAATGTTAAGTATTTCAATACTTTATTTTTCTTTAATGTGAGTTTTGCATCTGTATTCCTCATACATACCACCAACTTATAAGATGCAAAAACAAAAGCCACTAATAGTTCTAACTACCAAATTACGAGGGAAATTCATATTGTCCCGGTAACACGTGGAACGACGGGCACGATGATCGCTGAACGAGCGCGGAATAACAACTAACTTATATTCACCTCTTCCAAAGACTCGCATACCGTGTAAGTAAGAAAGAAATCAGCGTGCATATCGGTCTGTCGCAATACCGCCAGTGAAAGTAAAAAAGATCGATCTCCGGTAACGAGAGGCGCGAGTCGTTTGAAAAAACTATGCTGTCTCTGATACCCCTATGAATAATAATTTGTGATCGATTACAATGTATTCCGTGCACGAAATCGTCACTCAACCCGAGGACATAAAGGTGGGTGAACACGATGAACGGAGTATTGCTTTCCACCAGTTCCTACCCGGAACGTCGAACAACAAAACTAGAATGCGCGTTAATCAGGCGTTGATATTAATCTTCGCGGTAAGTGGATTTACAGCGTTGGAATACAGTGCGTCATAAAAATGTTTCATAATTATTTTATTGCAAATAACAGCTGTGCATAATCGTCGAGTGCGGCGGTACAGTTTCGACTCGCGTGACCAGGACCATTCCCTTCAATTTGTTCCCGTCGAGATGGTCGAGCACGCTCAGAAACTTGTGGTCCAGTGGACGATTATGGGATTTGCCACGAAACAGCGCAGAATATTTCCTAAGGCTGGTAGCAGCTCCTGACACCAGGAAGAAGATGATGTTCGAGTTCAGACCCGACGACGGACCTCGTGCCTCGTACGCTTATCAAAGCCGCTATGGTTATCGCGGACAGTGGCTGATCGAGTTACTCGGTTCCGGTTTTCATCCTGACAGTGTACCTTTTCGACAACCCGTACCACTTTCTATGTTGGTTCCCCCAGCGCCTCCTCGGTGATAACACAATGTTCGATATAGTGAAACGAATAGCAGAATGCAAATGTATCTGAGTATAGTTCTTGAAGAGAGTACTGTCCTTAGACTGCCCATACTTTGACGTAGTCAATGTGGAGACCGTTATCGCCGGTTCGCCATGACTCTAGCCACTTGTCTTTAGCTTGGTAAAAGTCGTTGAGTGCCTGTAATTTTGTATTTTTGTAAAAATAGTTTCAAAGAATGTATTTAAAAAGATATATTTTGTACTAATGAATTTGTTTTTAAATTTAGTATCTTTCAAAATCAAAAGTGGTACACAGACTTTATTAGTTAAGTTTAACAAAATTACCTTTGGTGATAAATTTTTCCAAGGTTTCTCGTAATTGGTACTGTTGCAAATATTCGGGAAAATTATGTGACCTCCGACTGCTATTCCAAAGTTCAGATAAGCCTGTGATATTACATGACATAAGTAAACGAGTGATTGTATATTTTTGTACAGTTTTATACAAACCGGTGAATTGAACGACGTCGGCAATTGTTGTTCGCCATATTGCTCGTTGTCGACTTTAATCGTGACTTTACCAGGCTCCCACACCAAGTCGTAAACGTGATAACTGTCTGACCATAGTGTCGACGATTTTTTTGCCGAAAGACTCCACAGATTATGTTGTTTATTGTGATCAGAGCTGGTGATCATAAATCCACCACCCCTAAGAACGTGTCCGCTCAAATCTTGTCCGTCTTGCGTTTGGAGCGAAGGATTACCGGCTGAATGAGCTATTATGATCTCGTGGTATGATTTTGAAGCATCTTGCTTCTCTGCGCTTTCTAATGTGATCACTGAAACACACATTGAATATTTTAATCTGGTAATACTTGGATCAGATTATAATTTTAAATGTGTATGTGGACCACGTGTAGTTCACAGGTTACGAGACGCTCAGCATAGTCCCCTCGAACTTACAAGGATATATCCAGTCACCACGTGGTAGTTTAGCTCGAATCTCAATGCGACCATACGTAAAGAGGAAGGACGGTTTGCTATTTATACGTCCTGATATTATAGGCGGCAGGATGTAAACCGAGTGTCCCGTCTGCTTGCAGGTTTTTGTACCAATCTCGTCCGTGCATCTAGGAATAGAATTATCTTTAATATACCGATATTATATATATGTTGTAAATGGTTGTAATGATCTGTACTTCTCCAAATTTAGGTTTCCTTCGCGAATGAAGTTGTTTCCAAATACATCATCAGTGAGAGTCGGTCGAATATGCAAAACACCGTCCCAGGCATCTACGTTGCTCTTATTGTTCATGTAAACGACGAACTCGTAGTTCTATAGAAATAAGTTCTATTAATTCAGAGTATTCGATTAAACGAATAATACTCAACCTACCGGTGTATTAGAGAAGCGCTCTACGATCGTCCAGCGATTAGTGTCAAGCTTGTCGAATTGATCTTCGAACACCATTTGTCCTGGACAAATGTTTTGTGGCTTTATTTGAAGATCATTCTGATTGTACTCGAATACCTTGGTCGGAGATTGTTTAGCACATGAGATAGTATTTCCTTCATCGCTGCCCACAGGTGTTCCGTCGGCGTTGTAAAATGCTGAACGTGTTAAAAATCATATTTAAAATATCATCGATATTATTTAATCTAAATATACAGATTAAGTTCCTTGGTCAAGGTAATTGGAGGAACCAATCTGTATATTTACCATACATTATCATAGATTATGCGGTACTGACTGTTCACCACGTAGCTCTGGTCCAGCAAGTTGTAACCGAGACCATCATAAACGACGTGAATCCAGTAATAAATGATGTCGCCCCGTTTCAACCTTGTGGTTTTATCCTCGTACACCCATCGGCCATTGCGCGTTTTTATGATGTCCCTGGCGATGGTTCCTGCCTCGAGGCCTTCGAAATCCTCGTTGAATTTCACATGGTAGGCGACTAAACTGATGCCATCCTCATCTAAATATAAAACGTACTGTTCAGAGATTTACTGTGTACAAGAATTTGGATTGTTCTGTCTTCCTGTATTGCATCCTTGAGTCGTTGCTGATTCACACGCTATGTGTTTGAATTATGTTAATATTTATCCTTCGTTTTTTTCCGTGTTTTCTTATCGTTTTTTAGTAGTTGCATCTCTAACGCTATCTTAGGTCGCTGTAAAAGCCTGAGGTTGAAATTTGTAAATAGTGAGGATGTTTATCTTACTTTTATTTATATCTTTATATTACAAAATTACTGATATGCATGCGGTGAGATCATGCTACATGTATAGAGTACAAAAAGTCTGATTTTTAATACTTCAAATTTGCAATGAGTCAGAATGAGCGTGTGAATTGAAGGAGATTCATGAGCGAAAGCTTTTCGCGGAAAAATATCTTATTAACGCTATTTTTATACTCTAAAATTTTATCATATTCAAGTTCATATTTTTTAATTTTTTAACTCTGGAACTTTTTATAAATAATCGTTGTATCATCTTAAGCAAAAAAATTTATCTTGATATTCAGTTTGTACTAAATAGTAATGTACCAAACTGATTAAGTATTCTTTCCACGGTGTAAGAAGAATAACAAGTACTTACGTGGAATGGACATTCGCAATCCTTTCGGATAAAGCGGTTCTACGGTCGGTGTCGGAGGAACGAATCGTGCCGAATTTCCTTGTAGTACAATGGATAATAGAACTCCAAGAAAAAGTGAGATGGTCGATGGAGAGCTCATTGTGGCTACGTCCGATAACGATGTCGGTTTAAGGAAAACTGAGAGACGAGACCCCACTACCGATGGTTGCAAACTGGTTTTCATAAGTACACGTATTCATCTTCATATCACCAATCGGTTGAACCAATAGTTTTACAGTGATACTTAAAAATTGTATTCCTCAGATCAAAAAATATCATTTGCGCGTTAAAAGAAAGTCTGATGATTCAACTACGCGCGAATATTTCATTATCTCTATGTTATAATAAAATACACCCTTCTTCCTCATTTCATAGTAGTATGAAAGTATATTTCTCTTCTTAATCTCCTCTATTCTATTTTCAACGATTGAACTTGTAATACTTGGTTTTCTAGACAAATATAAAATAATAAGTTATAATTAATTATTAATAAAATATTAATATATGTACGGAACATATTGTATTGTAAAAAACTTGCCCCTGAAAAATACTTTTTCCAAACATCCTCCGTGGTCCAGGAAATTTGATATTCCGTCCATTCTACGTATCAGTTATATTAAATTTCACAACAAAGTTCCAAGCGAACTTCACGAATAACAAAGTGATTAATAACGGTGAATGATCAAGGTAAAATCCACTTACCTAGAAAGGATATAATCCTTTCGAATCCTCGATAATTAAAGAAAATTAACCTTCGTGGAATAATAAAATAACTTTGGTCAGGATACGGTTCATAGTTCATAATGGTCAAAGAAGAAAAGAACGGATACCACAACTGCAGACTGATTTCGTAGAAATACATCTACCATGATAGTAATCCATGTGCTCTTCTGATAATGCAAAAATTTATTACTCAATTTACTCATGACTTGTAGATAAAGAGATCACCTCATTATCGATTCACAAATGATAGTTTATTTACCTTTGAGTTATCATAACGTTTACAATATTTTATCTATCGATAGTCATTAATCAGCATTTTAGCGGTCAATGATTATTACCCGCCAGTCGATAATCAGCTTTTCGGTGCTCAGTTATCGACCAGATGGATCTACATAACGGTCAAGTTTAGTCTTTCTCGTTTTATATACAGTGGAATGATAAATCTCATACCCTCTCTTCCTCAGAATCTGTAACATCTAAATGAATTTCCAATTTTCCTAAGATCTAAACTTGAACAGCGGCTTTGACAATGAGAGATTCGTATAAAAACTGCTCCTCTAGTTCGTCTATAACTGATACAGGCTATTCATTGACTATAACTTAATTTTGAATGGGTTAATTAATCATTTCCAAACCCTGAAATAATTATAGACAGTATTAATTACTGCTCTTCAGTCTACAATGTATAAACAGCCCGCTCAAACGGGGCGTCTGAATTTAGGGACTTTTCTCCCTGTTTGGTTTCTAGAAATTAAATTGACCCACCGTCTTCAGTCGCCATCGTTTCCGACAGTTTCGAAGTTTTCGCGTTCGATTCTCGTTAGTTGCCGCGTAATAAAACATAATTTTCGTGAATTTTACATCGACCAAAAGTGTCGCAGCTTCTCGACTATCCAGTCGTGAGTATTGTTTTTCGATTTCGCTTACTTATAATGTAACTTATTTTCGTTTTTCCACCTTTACAAAGATGTTGAACATCACAAATAAATTGTTCACGATTTATTACATGTTGAATGACACAATACTCTCGTGTAAATATAACCAATAAAACTTTCGTTATATTTATCGAATTATGATTGATACAATGATGAAAATAATGCCTGCGCAAAATTAAGATTTGTATGTCGTCAACGATCATGGCGATCGCATAGAGATGTTTGTCTCATATTATGTTACTTGCTGAACTTGGCGAATTTCTGTATTTGAACTAGACATTTCAAAGTTCTTTGAAACTTTGATGACATATTTACGGAAAATCAATTTGATTGATGTATTTCTGTGTTTATTGCACTTTATGTTCAGCAAATCAATGTATTTTACTTGACCCAGTTTGGCTTCTCATGGCTCATCAAGCATTTACTTCTTTTAAACGTGTTTCATAGCACTACATTTTTGGGCATTATTTATATGCTGTAATGAAAATGTATAAAACACTTATTAGAATTATTTTCAACTCCATATTGTAAGTCATGATAAGAACTATATGTTCGATCATCTACCTAGGTTAATTGCAGTTATTGCAGTTTGTCGTGTATATTTTAAAGGACATACTTACCTGACTCTACATTTAATGAGATCACAAATAATTAAACACTTCTACAATTTTTTACATATTATAATGTAATCTTATTTATATCTTTAGGATATTTATAACAATACAAATGTTATATTTCAACATATTTATTATCCAGTCATTAAAAATGTGGAATGATTTATGTATTAAATTGAAATGTCTTCGTTATAGGCAAAGGCTTTACCTGTTTTGAGGACCCTTGATTAATATTATTCATCATGAAAACAGAAATGTAAAGCATTCTCCCAATATAAAACTATAGGTCTGTATCATTACGTCTCATGCTTGAGAGGTATGAGGCATATCTAGGGAATCTTACACCATGGTGGAATGAGTTATAATGAACATGTTAATAATTGGATAATAAGTATATTAAAATTAAACATTCTTATTGTTAAAAATAAAACAATATTCAATTCTCAAATATATTTAAGATATTTTCAACTTTAATAACTATAAGTTATACGTATTATAACAATTATACATATTTTATACCAGAATGGTAAAAACAATTATTTTTTAGCACTGGTCACAATCATTTAATATTCTTACTAAATAAATAAAATATTTCTTTTCTAAATTTTTTATAAGTCAGCTTGAAGTATCTACAACAATGTTATGTTTAAGAAATTGAACAGATTTTTATACTTCTCAGTTTTAATTTTTGCAAACATTTGTTTGCTTTGGTGAAAGAAGGAAATAAAAATTCAGTAGATTCTGATACTTATTATTTTGGAAAACAGATTTATGTTCATTTAATTTAAGCATAAATATAAATATGTTTTCTAAAAATTTATATTAATGATCTATTAATTTTTATTTCCTTTGTACAAAGGCAAATAAAAGTTGATTAAATCTATCCTTCCTCTTCTATAATATTTCTATACAATTACAAAATGGTGTATTTTATATGTATATAACACATATTTTATTAAAAATCTCTTTTGTAAGATGTACCATATATATAGACTATTTTTAATACCAGATAATTTAAAATATCAACCTTGTATATTGTATGTACTTGTGCATAACAAATACATATTTTTATTTCTTCTATGTATGTATCTATTTATCGAACTAAATATGATGCAAATTCATTAATATATTTTAAAAGCACATAAAGCTTATTCCTTTGTGTTTTATAATTTGACATATTTCTGTGCTATTTTCATTTTATGATTTCTTGTATATGTATAATATATGTTTAAAAATTTAATCTACCATATTTGTTCGTTATGTTTGTATGTTGTGTATTGTTCAAAAATTTCTTAGAACCATTTAATTTCTCACAACTATTTTACAGAAGTTCCTATCTTTTGGACTTCTATGTTTAAGTATAATGGAAGAAAAATTCAAACTATAAACTTTAACAAAGTTTATACAATGTTATTATGATTACTAATTTAATAAGCGTCTTATTCTCTATTTATGTAAAGTGAAGTTTGTTTATGTAACAAAATTTCAGGCGATTTAATTTCTAGTAAAAATATGTATTCATCTTTTTCTGCTTATTCAAAATCATTTGAATATTTATGAAACTTGCAGATATTTTTATGAATATATTTGATTAATTACTTTGAAAACTTTTATAAATAAATGTATGGTTGGTGTTTGTACTATAAAACATAATAAATAAATGAATAGAGATATTTATTTTAATATATGCATATATGTGACAGTAATTCTATAATAGTTTTCTTTGAATATAAACTAGCGTCCAAACGGACTGCGGCCCTTAAAACAATTTGGACTGCTCTAGCAAACCATTTGCTAGAGTGAGAGAGCATTAAAAAATGCAAAATTGGAATCAATGGCAATTGTCAGCTGGTGCTGTTGCCACTCCAATGCCACAACCACCAGTTGGTTATGCCACTCCAGGAGCAGATCCTATGGCTATGATGCAAGCTTACATGCAGTATTACAATCAACCAGTAAGTATCATATTAAAATGATTAATGGTAGAGATACAATTTTGAAAAATTAATCTTCATGTGCTATAAATTGTTACAAGCTCTTAATAAAATGTATTAATTACAAGTTCTCAAAAATTGTATTACTGTATATTAAATATAGCTTATATGAATATTTTTAGAATCTAAATGTTTATTTAATATTGGAAATGTAAATAATATGTATTTCTTTGTTAGGCACCTAATGGGTATACAGCAGAACAATGGGCTGCAGCTCAGCAACAAAACTGGGCTCAATGGCAGCAATGGCAACAACAATACCAGCAATGGCAAGCACAATATGGTGAAAAGGTACATAACAAATTAAAATATTATTAATTAAGCTCAAGATGCAATGAGTAATCATAAAGTTTACATAATAGTCATATGCACCTATTGTTCATATGAAGATTTAAAATCCTTAGTAAATTAAGGATATGTGCAGTAAAGCTCAAGTAAAGACTGCTTTTCATAGCATGACATTCAGTTGTTTTTTCATTGCTCTAATTCTTGTTTCAGTATCAGGAAACCATGAAGCACATATCAGCACAGAACTTGAACTTATCCAGTCAGGTGCCACAGTTACCGGTTGTGCAACCTCCACCGCCTCTTCCAAAAGAGGATGCAAAGCCACCATTACCCCCAACCACAATGAATACGTATCAATTTACAAGCATGCCTCCTCCACATCAAAATAATCTTCCATTATTTCCTGCTAAACAAAATGCAAATACCTCATTACAGCAATCAAACGTTCAGAATTGTCCACAAAATCCTCCTTTACCTCCAAACCAACCACCATTACCTCCTGAAAGTAGTAATAATAGTAAAGAGAATAATAATTTAATTGGTAAACGTAGTAGTAATGCCATTAGTGAATCTACTAGTGCTAAAAAATTGAAAGTTGAAGATGAAGAACTAACTGAGGCCGAGAAAACATTTGATGCTCAGTTTAAACAGTGGGAGGAACAGTTTAATAAGTGGAAACAGCAAAATGCTAATCACCCAGACAAGGTAAGTAATGTTACAATTATTATCAGTAGATCACCACAAATATATTAGTCGAAATACTGTGAGTGAAGTAGTGTTCCAATTCTTGCAAGAAAAAGACATACCATTTTATTGTAGACCCAATACAAACAATACGAAGCGAAATGGACATCCTGGCGGGAGAAGCTTATTGAGCGACGTGAACAGATGCGTAGGAAACGCGAGCAACAAAAGCAAGCTACCGCTAAGACAGAAGTTGACAAAAATAAAAGTTTGCCTGGTGACGATAAAATAATGAATATACTGTCGAGTACTGAGAATCAGGGATTGATTAATAATTTATTAGGTATTGGAAAGACTCTCGGTTTAACCGGAAAACAAAACACTAACGTACCTCCTCCGCCACCTCCACCGCCGGCTACTGAAGCTACGGCGTCTAACGTTCAAACAACCATGACATCTTCTCAGTCAACTTCAGCACCTCAGTTACCAGCCATGAATATGTCTTCTAACGTGATGACCTCATCACCTTGGAATTCTCAACAGTGGACACCGCAGTACAATGCAAACGTATCGAATTTTCCAAATTTTCAGTCTGTTAGCGGTGTATCACAACTACCATTTGGTGCTCCACCAACGCAAATGCCTCCACCAAATTTCACTCAGCCACCACCGAACTTTTCAAGTGTACCAAACTTTTCGCAACCACCGCCTGGATTTGTCAGTAATGATTCCCGACAGGGTCAAAATGCGCGACCGTCAATTCCACCGAATATGCAAGGAAGACCCCCTCCGTTTGGTCCAAATAACAATACTGGTCCAGATGGCGGTATGCACAATGAACGTCCAGGACAAAGCGGACCCATGAACAATTTTGACTCGGTGGGTCATCCAAACAGTTTTAATATGAACGATCCTACTCGAGAAAAGGATGAACGTTTTACTCGAGATGGTGATCAACAGAATAATCAGTTTAGATCCAATGATTTATTCAGTCAACGGGGTGACAATTATAAATTGAACGATGAACGTATGTCAGAGACTGATCAGTTCAGAAGAGAGGACAGAAATTATCAAGATTTCAGTGGTAATCAGTTCAACCAACATAAAATGAATTACAGTAACGACAGATTTGGTGGGAATGATCGTTTTGGACCAGGCAATAATAGATTTGGTCCAACGAATGACAGATTCGGACCTGTAAACGATCGTTTTGGGTCTGGGGATAACAGATTTGCTGCTGCTAATGATCGATTTGGACAAGGAAGCGAATCTGTTAATGATCGGTTTGGATCGAACAATGAACCACCGTATGGACCTGGTGGTGATAGGTTTAACAGGAATAACATGGATCGTTTTGATCAAAAGGATCTAGGAGAAAGGCGCGATGGCTTCCCAGGTACTCCACGGAACTTTAATAGAAATAACCAGTTTGAACCACCGGACAAATTCGCGCCAGAGTTGAAAAAACTTATGGAAAAACGAAGGGCTGCGATAGATGTATTTAAACCGAGCTTCCTCGATTCCGACAAGAATAGTAGCGTCGGGTCTTTGAGTGAAAGTTTCAAGAAAATCACCGGTGAGTCTCCGTTTATGAAAACTTCCACTTCGAACAATAATTTTGGGCCTCGTGGGTCTTCCAATTTTGGGCCAGGTGGAGCCGCTAACTTCCGGATGCCTGGAGACTTCAAATCTCCAGGAAACCAAGATTTCGGAACACGTTGTCCTACGGGAATCGGACGTAACAATTCGTTTGAATCGCGAGACGGTGCTGCTCCATTCAGAGGACTCGCCACTTCTAGTCCACAGCAAGATTTCATGGGCACTGAACCTAGACCAGAAATACCAAACATGGGAATCGACATGGAAGCGAATAAAGAGAATAAAAACGAGTCTGTGATGGAACAGCCAGTAGCGAGTTCAATCTTAAACGAACAGACTGTTGACGGTGCCCAGAAGGATAGCTCCGAAGGTTACGCTGGACAAAGTGATATACCATTGTTAGAAAAACCACCTTGGATCGATGCTCAACTTCCTGAAGATTTGTTGCAAAAGGATAAAATTAAACCGGATGAAAATTTGTCTGCAAACTACAATCCTTCAGAACAGGATGCTCAGACTGCATTTAACGACTCAAAGGGAAAACAAGAACTATCCAGCAGCGATAATAAGAAAGTTGAGGCCTTGCCTTTTATGGGAGAGAATGATCCAAAACCTGAAGACCTGAACATGGAGCCACCACCTGAATTACCAAACTTAGGTCCTGTCTCAGATAATGAACTGACTGATCCTATACGAGGGACAAACGAGTCTTCCTTGAAATCGTTTCCAAATAATTCAGAATGCTTTGATCCTACACTCGGCCCAAGAGGTATGCCGTTCAGACCAAATACACCTTTCACTGGCCCTAGAGGCCCCACTGATAACAGATTTCCAGTCTTTGAACCTAGAGGTCCAGGTTCGTTTCCATTTAACCCTCCTGCTCTAAACCAGTACCCGTTAGGTCCTCGAGGATTCAGTGACGGACAGTTTGGACCAAGAGGTCCTAATAACGGCCAGTTTGGTCCAAGAGGTCCCACTGATGGACAGTTTGGACCTCAAGGACCTAACGATACACAGTTTGGTCCAAGAGGTGTCAATGATGGACTATTTGGACCCAGAGGTCCCAACGACGGTCCATTTGGGCCTAGAGGTCCTAATGGAGGACCCTTTGGACCAAGAGGGCCCACTGAGAATCAGTTCGGACCACGAGGACCTAACAATGGACCGTTTGGACCCAGAGGTCCTAACACTGGACAATTTGGACCTAGATTTGATGGTCAGTTTGGACTGAGAAGACCCAATGATGGACAGTTCGGTCCTAGAGGACCAATCGATGGACAACTTGGTCCTCAAGGACCCAACAACCGACCATTTACTCCTGGTAGACAAAACGATGCACCTTTTGATAACTCTGGACAATTTGCTCCCAGAGGACCAACTGAAACGCACAGATTTTCCGGACCTAATGATAGACTATTCGGTTCAAGACGCAGCGATGGACCCTTCCAAAGAAGTCCAAATGGTTCTAAAGGAGCAAACAATGGACAATTTTCTAATGTGAATGATGGATGTTATGGACCTCAGAGCTCAAACGATTCGTACTTTGGGTCCCGAGGTCCAATGGACGGGCCAAACGATATCAGAGGAATTGGAGAATTTAGATCAAAAGGGCCAATCGATTACAATTGCCCTAAACTCCCAGAGAACTCAGAAGCAGGTGGTTCCAACATTCGTGGCGATGGAGGAGTGTTTGAAAACACCAATCAGATGCGGATAGAACCACAAGGGCAGTTTGACACGGATGATATGTCAAATCCAGGCTGGAGGCAATCATACCCCAAGAACAGCTTTGGTGACACTGACCAAAGGTCTTCACGAGATTTCGATTTTGTTAATAAATCTGGGCCAGGTCAGAATGAAACGTTTAATCAAGATACCATGAATAATGTTGAACGACGGTCGCAACTAGATGCAATCAAATCTAACATACCTGAAAGATCAGAGAAGAGTATGGCTGACTTAACTGTAGGAGATTACAAAGCTGAGTTTGGGGAGTCTTCATCCTTTGGTAATTCTATGTTCATGAAACGGTCAGCAGATAATCGGCAGTCTCAAGTCAAGTGTCCACCAGTTAAAGAATTTTGCATAGAGAAACAGTTTAATTACAATCATGGTGGAGCCACAACTGAGAAGAAATTTATTGAACATATACCTGCCAAAGTAATTGACTATGCTCACACCTCTCGTTCAGCGATTCAGGATCATTTGACTCCAGTGCAGTGCTTTGATTATGGACATGGTAATTTGAAACCATTGGTGCCCGACCATGAGGTGCATCCGAAGAAAGATTTCAGAAACTGGGAGGAGAGTGAACAGAATTTGAAAGAGTACACAGAAAAGATAAAGAGATACGAATATTATGCGGATAAAACAGACTCTAGGAGATCTAGAAATTATAATAAGAGAAGGAACAGTGAGGAATCGTTTGATGAAAGAAAACCTGACAGGGAGCGTAGAGAGAAGGAGGACCACAAAGGGAAGGAAAAAGAGGATAGGTCGTTTGATCGTATGTCTGACAAAGATCAAGATGTTCGATATGACAAAAATAGCAATAAAGGTAATTTGAGGTTTATTTAAATAAATATACAGTCTTATTCAAGTATTATTACAAAATATCTATGTGAATTTATAAGTCATATATTTAGTTGTTAAACTATAAAGATAGTTTTAAATTTATTCTTTTCTTTCACTGCAGAAAGAACACGAGAAAAATGTGACACTTCTCAAAAGGAACCGATTAAAGAGAATGACAAAGATGAGGACAGGTACAGTAAAATAAATACTTCATTCATAAATCTGTATTCATATTTGTATGTAACAAAAATAAATTTCTCTTGGCTGTTGTTCATATATACATCAATTTCGTTTTGAAAACATGTAACTTTCTTTAGATCAAAAGGAAATAAAAACTGGCAGGAGAATGCGAACAAGAACGTCATAGATACAAAGCCATCAGATACCAGGTATGTTATAATAATTATTAAATACATCCTTTAGCGTTTAGTCTTTTAGAAACTGTTAAATAAACGGTTTTACAATTTTTATGTTTTTAAATTTACACTATTGGTATCTGTTTATAAATTTAATACTCTTATGAAGATGACACTTTACTGTTGTAAATTTATACTATGCCTTTGGACTGCTAAAATGCAGTTAGAAGATACTAGTTTATTATGCTTGTCTGTATTGTGTCATAGTTTTTGACGCAGGAGATATTTTGGAAACCACTGGTTTTCTTTATTTATAACATGTCTACAATGTGACTACAATGTCACTACATTGAAGTACTATACATTTGAAGCCATGAAACATTTATTTTCATGCGTGCTAACAATTTAAATATAAGCGATGATAAACGATTATTTTTAGAAACGTTTTATTCATTTGAAATAATTTAGCAATTGATACTTATTAAATACGTGTTTTTATGCTATATGTATGAATATACAATAATCTAAAAATAATTTGGGTTCGACAAATTCGATTAGATACATGAAATGCTTAGTAGCATAATACAAACATATGTTTGTACTGTACAGAAACACGTTTCATGTAATTTAATCTGAACATATGAAAACACACACCGATTTTAGGTTTTTAACTATTGCTATTTTTAATAATAGCTTCCAGAAACTTTATACTGTTTCTCATATTTATAATGCATCTTTGAAATTTATTAATATCTTAAGGTTTTCTAATTATTAGGAATATTTTAAATATCAAATATATTACCACTTGTATGTATTAATTGATATATACTTACCATCATTATATCTAATTTTTTATTTACCTTCTTCTCTATTATATTGCAAGCATAGTATTTTAGAAAGATCTCATAATAAAATAATATTACGTCTTACAGTGTTACAGATTCTCAGCATAATGTATTGGAACCTGCACAAAAGACCTTGGAACTGGCAAAGACACCAAACTGTACAATGGTGGATGATCTGCTGTGTCCTCCAGGTCGCCAGAACAGACCACCAAAAATAGCCATTATTTTGAGAGGTCCACCAGGCAGTGGAAAGTCATTCGTGGCAAAACTTATTAAGGTAAAGATTTTATTATAGTAAACAATTAACATTTGTATAAATTTTGTAATAAATTACTACATTGAAAATATTCTTTTACAGGATAAAGAAGTTGAACAAGGTGGTTCTGCTCCAAGGATTTTAAGTCTTGATGATTATTTCCTGGTTGAAAAGGAGATAGAAACCACAGATGATAATGGGAAGAAAATCACAGTTAAGGTAGAACATAAATCGTCATTCTTGTTAGATTTAAATATGTATAAATGATATAAACTTTTTCCATTGACTAATTTTATAGGATATGGTTTACGAATATGAGGAAGCAATGGAGCAAAGTTATATCACCTCTCTGGTTAAAGCATTTAAAAAGAATATCACTGATGGTTTCTTTAACTTCATAATATTAGACTGCATCAATGAAAAAATATCCGATTACGAAGAAATGTGGAGTTTTGCTAAGACTAAAGGTTTTAAAGTAAGTACTCTGTAATCTCAAAAAAAAATTTTTTTTAATGCTTCTCTTAATCTTATAGGTATATGTCTGCGAAATGGAAATGGATTTACAAATCTGTGTAAAAAGAAATATTCATAATCGCACAGAAGACGAAATAAATAGGATTATAGATTATTTTGAGCCAACACCGAGTTATCATCAAAAGTTAGATGTCAACTCAATGTTGCAAGAACAAGCAATTGAGGAAGTATGTTCTTCTGATAAGTTATACGTTTGTGTATAATAATGAATTAAGACTATCCTGTACTCTTTTATATAATAGGTTCACATGGAAGATAGCGAAGAAACGCAGGAGAAACCCTCCCAACAACACAACGAAGATAGTCAGGATAGTCAAGATGATATTCAAGATGTTACTGTAATATTTAGTTGCAATTTAAATTTAATATATATCTAAAGAAAATTCAAGACATTAAACGTATGTCTTATTAATCACTTCTAGGGAGTCAGTAAGTGGGAACGTATGGAGGCAGAGGATAAATTAGGTTAGTCATTTATTTCATAAAACAGTTGTATATTTCTTAATAAATTTCTTGTTTATGTACATGTTTTTCGATACAGATCGTTTGGATGGACTTGCGAAGAAGAAAAATGAGGGAAAAGTACAAACAATGAAAGATTTTCTTCAGGTTCCGGATTATTACAACATGGAAGATACTTCCGGTAAAAAAAGGGTAAGTATGCTTTTGACTAATTTAAATATACTTGAGGACTGTCGATCCGATTTATAAAAATTGTATCAAATAGGTAAGGTGGGCAGATTTAGAAGAACGAAAAGAACAAGAGAAAATGCGAGCTGTAGGATTCGTAGTTGGTCACACGAACTGGGATCGTATGATGGATCCCACGAAAGGAGGAAGCGCTTTAACACGCACAAAGTATATATGATTTAATTTTACTTCTAAATTTATTAAGAAAGATTAGAAGTAAAACTAATGTTTAGTTGCTTGTAAGTTCTAGTCTATAAATTTATACGGCTACTTAAGAAAGGAGCTATAAAACATTATTTCTTTTCTTATTTTTATAAACTGAAAAAATCTATGACTTTTATGTTATAAGATGTTTCTGAAAAGCTTATGTCAGAAGCTTATGTAAATAGTTACATTAGGTATTAATAGAAAGAGTATTTTTCTTTTACAGTATTACTTATAATATATCAAGACTGCTCTTTTTGTTGAAGAGATTACAATTAAATGTTATAGAATTATCTTTGTGGAAAAGATATTCTTGTCTCGAATGTTCTACAAATTTTTGGATTGTTATTTTGACAGTAATGTTGAACAGTTTATTTAGAAGAATATAACATTAGTGTTATTACTATAATTAATATGTGTACATGTTTTGAAACCATTTCTTTGAAACGAAGTTTCTAATCTTTGTTTTAGAAGAAATGATTCAGGTAAATTGCAAGTGTCAATTTAATTTTCTCGTAATGTGTTATGTGTATTTTTATAAATCTGTGTAAAAGAAATTTGATATGATCGACAAATTTTTATTTTCCTTTTAATTCAATTTGCTTAAAGTATACTTATCCTCTCGATAACATACAGGTTTTCAAGTATTATTACTTTTATTATTTTTATACTTACGAAAATATAAGAAGTTAAAAATTCAGTATCTTAATAATCGTTATTATTGCAGGTTTTTCTCACTATCATAATGATAGTTATGTTTTTATTCGACTTCAGTAATGCAAAAAACGTGAGTAAGGTGTCTACAACTTTTCGGGAGACGATATACGGTTTTAATATACCTTTGTATCCGTTTAACACAAAGCATAAAAGTCGTATTGTCTTGTGTAAAACATTGTAATTATTGTATATAACATACATTTAATGAAATTGTTCCATTATACATTTTTATATGTAGTTGTGCATAATGTATTAGATAGATTTACAGCTTAAGTATACACTGCCTGTTGAGGGTTCTGTTATTAACAAATTAAAGTATATTCATCATTCAGTTCAAAAGAACAATTATTGTATGATTACAATAAGAAAAATAAATTGTAGAAAACTGTTTGATATTTTATACTTATAATTTCGGTATAAATTCATTTCTAATTGTAAACTTTAAAAATTTTGTAGCCTGCAGACACTGTATGTACCCGGTTTTCAGATATCAGGAGATGTGGATAGTTCTCCCTGGGTTCTTTCTACACTCTTCCTGGGTCCTGAGCTTATCCTAGATTCATTCTGGGTCCTAAGTTTCCTAGTCTCTAACTAGCTTTTTCCCAGATTTGTTTTTTTTTCTTTTGGATTCTCTAGACCCTAGGTTTTTCCTAGGCTTTTCCTAGACTTTTCCTAACCATAGCTCTTATATATCTATATAGGCTTGACCTAAGTTTTTCCTAAGTTTTCCTTTATACTCTTCCCTGATTAAAAATTGCGTTTAATACAGCAATAAATATAAAATATAAAAGAATGTATGAAGCACATTTTTAAATATATGGACAAACCAATATCACATTTTTGTGATATCAGCATTTAGGTGCCGTTGCAATATGCAACCGCCTTAAAGTTCCTCAACGTTTCATTTTATCGTATCTTGTAGCTTTTATTCTAAGGAACAGTCTGACGTGTACAAAAATCAAACTGCACGATCACGAATAGGTTAGATCGCAATATTCTATAATAAACATTTTTTTATTGTCAAAAAATCATATAATCATGTTGGATCTATTTACTATATTTAGTAAAGGTGGAATTGTGCTTTGGTGTTTCCAAAGTACCTCGCAAATATTTGCGCCTAGCGTTAACGCGCTAATACGAAGTGTCATATTGCAAGTAAGTACACCTGTCAAGGTTTTATATTTTTCTTTCTTTTTCATGTCCATATGGAATACTGTTCAATAACTGATTTTCGTGTCAAGAATTGAAATAAAACAAAAGATATATTTTTCTTGTACAGTAATTTATCTGTTAAATAGTTTGCTTTTGTCATGATTATATTTTTATAATCTTTTTTTGCAGGAACGTACGGGAAATCATACTTTTGAATATGATTCTTTGCGGTTGCAATACAAACTTGATAATGAGTTTGAATTAGTGTTTGTTGTTGCATATCAAAAGATACTACAGTTGTCATATATAGATAAATTTTTAAATGATATTCATTTGGAGTTTAGAGACAGATTTAAAAATGAGTTGGAGAAGTCTCAATGGTTTTATAATTATGAGTTTAGCAGGAATTATGAACATGTTCTTGCTATGGCTGAACAATGGGCACGAACTCAGGCTAAGATACCTAAACAAATGCGTACGTTTGATGAGAGTCAAAAATCAAAGAAAACTGTTGCTAGTATGATTGAAAGAAAAGATGACAAGGATAATAAAAAGCAGGGTACGTAGTAAATATAACTTAAAAGTTCAGTTTTGTATAGTACTTTTATTTATTTCAAGCACTTTGCATTCAATGAGCTTATGATATTATTAATGTCTTTATAGCTTTGATATCCCTAAGTCCTATGTTATGGAAATCTTAGATGACCTGTATATATTGCCAATATTTTAAGGTTCTCAATATTTATTTAAAGTACTCAAATATTGACAATATGTACTGATTGTCTAAGAACTCTGTTATTTCTTTTGGTACCAGGGAATTAGAAATAGTTTGGGTGTAATTATTACAAATAATCAGGTTGTAGTTAAACCTTTCTAAGATTAATATTTATTTATTAATGTAGTTGTACAATTTTTTGGTGGTTTCATTTATTTTTGAGTGCCAAATACTATAAGCCATTGATATTTGTTTAGGATTTTATATAGAATCACAAGCAATTTTCATTTAGGTAGTAATATGTCCTTTCCAATGTGGGTATCACTAACAGGAAATGGGGATCTTCTTCGCTTCTAGGTAAAAGGAAGAAGGGAGTTAATACTAATAAAGATGATCAATGTAAGTGATTTTGAATTTCACATGCTGCATTTTGTGTACAAATCATTACCATCAGACATTAACAAAATTAACAGCACCTTGCCATACCTCTATTTTATCTCATAACATAGGCTAAATATTCAGCAACAAATTAATAAAAATTAAAACTATAATGGAATTTATTGTCGAATAAATATTAATCTGGTTATTATGTGATTCTGTAGTGAAAGTTCAAGAGGTTCCAAAACAGGACCTGGTGAATAATCAAATAAATCATAATGGGGAAATAAACGAAGAGATTTTAATTGCGAACCGCGTGAAATTGGCTCAGAAACTAAACAATCAAAAGAAGAAAGTTGATAAGCAGTAAGTTTATAGAGTTGAAAACTAAAGGAATATATTTTACTATTCAATTATTCATATTTAATCATTGTAGGAAGAGTCAAAAGCCTGAAAAGGCAGGTAAAAAACCTCGCGTGTGGGAATTAGGTGGGACCACCAAGGACCTTGCTACCTTAGAGCGCACCAAAGACAAACCAGAAGAAAGTGGCGATTATGTGGCAGCTGATACAACAGTAAATTTATCATTCACAAATGACCATTGACGCGATTATGTCCTTGTTGAAACTAATATTTTTTACAGTTAGTAGGCCAGATGAAAGGCAGTATTCGTGATATAGAAATTGAAAGTGAGTCCGAAGATGAGTCTGATCAAGAAATCGAGAACCCTAAGCCGCAAGTACAAAAGAAAACAAACAGTATGTTTTCAATGTTCAAAAGTTTGGTCGGTAATAAGAGCTTGAAGCACGAAGACATGGCTCCAGTTCTGGATAAACTGAAAGATCACTTGATCACAAAGAATGTAGCTGCGGAAATTGCTCAAAAATTATGTGATTCTGTTGGCGTAAAGCTGGAAGGAAAGGTGTTGGGTACATTCGACAGCGTGTCAAGTACTGTTAAGGCAACGCTAACAGACGCACTAGTACAGATATTGTCTCCAAAAAGACGAGTTGACATTCTTCGAGATGCAATGGAAGCAAAGCGGAACAATAGACCTTACGTTATGACCTTTTGCGGCGTCAACGGAGTAGGCAAATCAACGAATTTGGCGAAAATTTGTTTCTGGCTCATAGAAAATAATTTCCGCGTGCTTATTGCTGCGTGTGATACGTTCAGGTACTTCTTTTTATTGCAAAATTCGAACTTAGAAGTATGGTGTATTTGAGTACATTTTATATTTTGTTTCAGAGCCGGTGCAGTTGAGCAACTGAGGACCCATATGCGTCATTTAAACGCTCTTCATCCACCAGAGAAACATGGAAATATGTCTATGGTTCAGTTGTATGAAAAAGGGTATGGGAAGGATGCTGCTGGTATCGCCATGGAAGCGATTCGTTTTGCTAAGGACTCGAGATTCGACGTAGTCTTGGTAGACACCGCTGGTCGAATGCAAGATAACGAACCGTTGATGAGAGCCTTGGCCAAGTTGATCAAAGTAAACGAGCCAGATTTAGTACTCTTCGTCGGTGAAGCTCTCGTTGGAAACGAGGCTGTTGATCAATTAGTGAAATTCAATCAAGCGTTAGCCGATCATAGTCAATCCACCAATCCTCATATCATTGACGGAATCGTGTTAACTAAATTTGATACAATCGATGATAAGGTAAATATAACTGATTACAACGGTGCTGCGCAAGAAATATAGTTAACATTTGTTGTGGATTGTTTTTAGGTAGGCGCAGCGATTTCTATGACATACATTACTGGGCAACCAATCGTTTTTGTTGGTACAGGACAAACTTATACAGATTTAAAATCATTAAACGCGAAAGCGGTAGTTCACGCTTTAATGAAGTAATTGTTGATTCGAATAATAAAACGATATTAAATTTATTACATAAATGATTCAAACTTTAATAGATTATTATTAATAAATTCAGGGGATAATTATATACAAAAAGATTTAGCAGAAGTAATATATTATTGTGTCTAAATAAGTACTGTTCTTAATGTATGTATAATTATGTCTTACCAATTATGTTACGTTAAATGATTTGATAAATGCTATCATAAAATCCTTAGAGACGCTCGCGTACTATCCTTAGTCGATTTATGTTGCAAATGGTTTAATGTACAAATTTATAGACAGTTTTCTAAAAAATATAAATGATGGAATTAAAGAGCAAGGATATGCTTCCATATTTCAATTAATTCTTGTACTGCAGTATTTTTATTTGATACCTTTTGTCATTATAAACGTTATACATTTACTCTTTATGATTGTGCTATTTGCTATAAATAGGCACTCGCGATCACGCGAGCCCTTGATCATAACACGTAACTCATGACTCGCAATCGAGTGTTTGTCATTTAATTCATTAACAAAAAAAAACTGCTGTAAATTCAACATAAACATAAACAAAGTGTAATATATATAGACCAACCACTTCATTGATGTATCATAATCTGAAATACCGACATTACATAAAACCCTACTCGCGTCAACATGGCGTCAACCATTCTGTTACGCACTCTACACAAACACGCAAACCGTGCTTCTAGGCACTTCAGTTGGATCTCCGTATCCGCTGACTCAGTATGCGCGGTTTCGCTTATCCGCGCTTAAAAATTACAAAACCTCGCGTGCCGACCAGAAACGAGCATAAAAATCAGTAACAGTGGAAACGAGTCGATTCACGTTCGATCGGAAACAATTGATCCAAAGTGAAGTGTAGAATCTTCAAAGTCGTGTACACAAACTCACCACTCCACAATGGCTCCAAAGCGACGCAACATTTGCGACGCTCCCAGTGACATTAAACCCAAGAGAATCCGGGGTGTTCTCACTATCAGTGAAAAAGTGAACATCCTGGACATGATCGAGGTACACAAGAAGTCGTACGCGGAAATAGCAAGGCTGTACGGCAAGAACGAGTCCTCCATTCGTGAGGTGATGAAGAACAGAGAGAAGATTCGTGCTAGTTTCTCTGTGGCACCGCAGACAGCAAAAGTCACCGCCGTGGCGCGAAACAAAGTGCTGATGAAGATGGAGAAGGCGTTAAATTATTGGGTGGAGGATATGAGCAGTAAAGGCATACCGGTCGACGGTAACGTAGTTCGGAAGAAAGCTTTAAACCTGTACGAGGACTATCAGAAAGAAGTCGAAAGAGGAGAAGAAGTGAAACCTTTCACAGCCAGCAAAGGATGGCTACACAGGTTCAAGAAGAGATTCAATTTCAGTAACATTAAAGTATTGGACGCACCGTCGCCCGATAAAGAAGAAGAAGCGTTACCTACCGAGTTAGGTAAGTTCGCTGCAGGAAATCCGCGGGATTTCGAAAACAAGAACAAGTTTTTGTCAGTCCTCTGGCAGTATAACTTGAAGGCGTGGGTCACTTCAGTATTATTTACGCAATGGTTCCAGCAATGCTTCATGCCAGAAATTCGAAAATATTTGGACAAGGAGCCGTCGAAAATTTCGTCGATAATAGACCCTTCGCAAAACGGCTTCGACGAACATGACCAGACGATATTTTCGGCGATAAATAACACCTCGCAGATGGAGCACAAGGCCTCACACGCCCGTCAGGTTTTCGAAACGGTTCGAGCAGCCATCGACGCGAATTCTAACCTTCAAGACAATTGGAAATCTTTTACGACCGCTGATGCAATCGACATCAAAGCGTTGTACGATTTAAAGCCGGAAATGATTAATACGTTCTTGAAAAATCCTTTTTTAGAGGTGGACGGGGAAGTGAAGAAAATTATAGAGACCGCGAGGGAAATTAATGGCGAGGGTTTTGGCGGCATGATGGCCGAGGAAGTGGAAGTGCAGCCGGAAGTGATAATTAAAGAAGAGATGGAGGACGTCGAGTCGTACACAGAGGAAGAAAACGAGGAGGAGATCGAAAGAAAACCGGCATTGTGGACAATGGAAAAATTAGACGAGGTGTTTCGGATAGCAGAAAACTTGTCAGAGAAAATAAGAGAATACGATCCCATAGTGGATCGCAGTGTTAAAGTTACGCAAACCATAAAGGAAGCTTTGCAACCTATACAGGAAGTGTTCAATGAATTGAGAAGTCAAGAACAGCAATTGCCCGGTGGATTTTATCATGGAAACGAGGCAAAAAGTGTGTCCGGTCTCGGGGAACCTCAACCGTCAACTTCTTTTGCAACCAATCTGATGCAAACACCATTTCCGTCGAGTCAGTCATCCGAGGATAATCCTGATAATTAAATTGCCAAAGTTTATGCGTTTATAATATATTGAAAAGTACGTCTGTTGTGCGGTTCGAGAAAAAGTTCTGGTGACTCCTGGTGAGGAAAGTGTGAGACGTGCCACTACTTCGGCTAGCATGTTCTCTTGATACAAATTTTATATTTTAAGCACTTTGACTTTGCAAAATCACTTTAATCTTGTGAATTTCTTGCAATTCGGGAGTTCGTGAAGTATAAAATGTTCTTAATATTTATACGATTTTATTGCAATATGTATTTTATAATACAGATTATCCATTTCTCCGTAATTTAAATTGATACTTGTGTATCATTGTGTTGTATAAATAAATGAGAGGTAATATACTACGTTAACACGTTCGCTGATGCATTGAGAAGCGGGTCGGTCATTTCGCATGTTATCAATTTTTAAGAGATCGATATTTTCGAAATTTTTTACGACCTACTCGTTTGTAATGTGTTGTCCAAAGTTCTAAAATTAATAAATCCTAATGTCCTAAGTTTTGAAAATGCAAATATTTGTTCCAAAATCCTACTTTGGTAATTTAAGGAGGGTTGAATTAAATACGCTTTATTTTAAATATTTTATTGAGCGAGCGAGCCGAAGGCGAGCGACTCTGGGCTGAAATACAATCCTGAAAATTAACGGTCAATTTTGAACTCTGACCCCATGCGCAGTAGCAAACCGTTACAAATAGTGCAGTTTATGGACTAAAAACTTGGCGCCCATTTAGCCGCAAAACGGGAAGACTAAACCTAACAAATGAGGGTCCGAACACGCATATAAGGAAAATAAAAAAGTGAATATTTCGGCACTTTGACGGCGCAGTATGGTTCCTGAGGCATTTAGAAACAAATTTCTATTAGGGCTTGATGCGTTTTGATGCCGAATAAAGCCAGAAAATCAATTTTTGTAGAATTCGGTCGAAAACGGTACAGGTGGCGCCATCTAGCGGCAAGCGGCGGAACTACGAAAAACTAAAATCTCGATTTTCTCGAAAACTAGGAACTTTTCCGAAATTCTGAGATATACAAATTTTTCCTTGTCGCCTACGGAATCGAACGAGTCTAATTATTGCCCGCTAGGACTATTATTAAAGAAAATAGAAAAATAGCCCATTTCATGGACTAAAAAATTGGCGTCCATCTAGCGGTGAAAGTTGGAACTACAAAAATATAAAAATGCGATTTTCTCGAAAATTAGTAAACACTTCTGAGGCTGAGAAAGTGTTATGTGATCGCATTAGAAGCAAAATAAAGT